TGTAGAGGTTCCGGGCCATGGTGAGCTGGAATGACTGCTCGGCCCCAGCATAGATGGCTTGCTGCTGAGCTTCTACGATGAGAGTATCCCAATTTCCCTCTAGATTTCGGAGAAATCTTGTAAAGCTGCTGAGAGCAGCTGGCACAACTCCAATGTCCAGGTTTTTAGCCTGGAGCATGTTAGTAATAGTCTGTGCCTTGGAGAGCAGCTTCTCCCAAAACACCAGAGTAATGGTGAACTCGAAAGTTCTAACTCTACTCAAAAGTCCCGCAGATGTTCGGCAGTTGGTGAGTGATAGCTTCGTCAGAAGTCTGATGATATCTGGCTGCCGATTCTTGATGGCCCGAACGCTTTCATGACGAGACGACCACCTCGTTGGGCAAAGTTTTTTTAGGTCTAAGCCCGGAGAGTTCATCTTCAGCTCCTCCCAGCGTAATGAGCTCGATCCAACAAACGTAAAAACCTGGCCCAGACAGTCGAAGAAATCACTGGTGTGGTTGGTAGCAGCCACAACATCTTTTATCACCAAACACAGATTGTGGGTCGAACAGTGCACAAAGGGAACAGGGTTCGTGGTTCTGTTCTTCAGTATCGTCTGTACTCCCCCATAAACTCCCGACATAACACTGGCTCCGTCAAATCCCTGTCCTCTAAGTTTGTCCAGCGTGATTCCCAGCTTCTGGAGTTCTTCAATAGCGAGATTAGCAATAGCCTCTGCTTTTCCAGATGACATTGCGATGAATCCGAGAAAGGTCTCATGCACCTGTACTTGAGAGTCTCGAACGGAAACCCAGCGCACCACCAAACTTAATTGGTCTACCTGTGAGGGAAATATGTCAATAAAATAGCTTCTAGATTCTAATACACATCCGATGGAAGAAATAAATGTACAACATAGTGAAAAGGGAAGGTGTAACGGTATTTTTCTTTACCATTGTCCACTGTACAGACATAATCATATTACATAAACAAATTTGAAATCAAAATGTATTTGACCAAAAGATGGAACGAACCTTTCCCAGATCAACTGTCGAATCAAGGATAATCGAAAAGTAGGGGCTCTTTAGGATATCCGATACCAAGGAGATCCGCATTTCCTCGGCGATAAGGGAGATCAGCTCGTTTTGGATCGCAGGGCTCAGATATTTAGTCTTCCCCTTGGGCGTGGCGATCACTTGCTTCAGGAGACCGTCAAACTGGGCAAGCAGTTTGACCAACTCTAGGAAGTTGGATCCCTCACAAACTCCATCCCCCACAACCTCTCTGTGTCCACGTAATCCAATGTTCATAGAGGCAGCAGCTATTATGATGGCAATAACCCGCTCGACGACCAGAGTCCACTTTTTTTCGTTCTCCTCGATGATCTTCAGCTCTTGAAGATCGACTGGGCTTTTGATGAAGTGCAGTCGATTTTTATGCGCCTCTGCGTGGCTCTCGGACGTCTCATGTGTCTTCATCTTCTTGGAGATGCCATACTTCTTACTGGGAAGAATCTTGTCTGCCCACGGTGATTTGGCTTTATCCCCGAACAGCCAGCATGTCTCGCAGTAGGCATATTTGCCTAGTGGTGAATAGCAGAGCCATTTTCTTCGCAGTTCGAGTCCATTCTGTTGCTTACTAACATAGTAGTTCGACAACGTTGAGGGTTGACAAGGTCCGTGTTGCAGTATCGCCCGCTTGTCAGCGATGCTGAGACATTGTCTGTCTTTGAACAGCTCCTTGTCGCTCGGCCAGTTCACCTCCAGTGATAGAGCAGCTGCAGCTTCCACTACAGCATCGACTTCGTTGCTTCCTTCACCTGGCGCAGATTTCATGATCAACTGTAAAAAGCAAGCCAAAAATGAAGATGTTTCTGTGAAAAGAAATTTAAGGATGTGGCAGTCAATCTATGATGTAATATCTAAGATCACACCATTCACGACGAGATAATAGACTGATTATCGTATCATACTCCGTAATCCGTACTACTATTTGTTAGTAATTAGTTATGAGTTATGATAACAAGTCAATTATATGTACTTTCTTGCACTAACAGGAGTTTTAGAGAATCATGTCACTATTTCAGTAAATTAGTAAAGACCTATTATTTTGGGGTTCCTCCAGTAATTTTCTTACCTGTTTCGTCGTCCGATTCAAATAGGGGAAACTCCAACTCTTCATCTGGTTCCTCGACTGGATCGGGACGGCTCTCCTCCCGCCAATACACGTCTTGTGCTGCTACTCGGGCTTCTGCGGCAGTAGGGAACGCTGGTCCTGCAGTTGCGGTGAAGCTTGTTATCTTGGGATAGGACTTCATAAACTCCTCCTTCTTCTTCTTCTTGTTTCTGTACGCTGCCCCAGATTCTTTAGTTCGCTTCATGTTAACTGTTGTGAAAAAATAATCAATCAAGAGGTCGGTCGTCGTCAATTACAAATTGCAATGCGATTGATTGTCGAATTAGATATATTGTATACATGATGATGAGTAGTGAGCAGCCTGCAGCTTATTATCATGTTAATAATAATAATAATAGTATTGCTAATTTTCAAACCTAAAAAAAGTGGCTCTCGGGCGGTAGGACAATGGACATATCACATGAGTGATGAGTGACTGAATGTTGGCTATCGCGGAAAATCACAGACTATAACAAAAATGTACGCATATGACACATGTAGATTAAATTGGTGGACAACAGTCATGCAACATGCTTTAAAAATCTATGTCAAGTGATGAGTCAACTACATTAAAGCTAACTTTAACACATGCTTCAGTAGGGGTACTGGGTAGGATATTGCACATCAGTACAGGAATAAACGTTATAACTAATATTAACTTACGAAGTTCACGTTGAAAGACGAAAGTCGGGTGGCCCAAGTGGGTACGTGACCAAGAATACGGTAGCGCTTGCAGTCCTTCCAGTTTCCCATTTGACCGGACGGCGGACTCTGACAATATCCATGCGACAGTAAGATTCTATGCAAAATGCAAATCAGCCCTAAGGGATTAAATCCTAAGGGCTAAGACCTAACTTATCAACAAACGTCATACAAAAACATCATTAATACTGTGACTCGTGAACCGGCCAGCGCAAAGCTGAAAGGCGAAAGCACCGCTGACCTTAGGCAATTCCGATCAATGATCAATGATCAATCAACAAAATTGAACGTCGACGGTCGAGTTCACAATATTGCAATTCATTACTAAAAACTAGTCATAGCAGTTAGTCGTGGCAATCTGCACACTGCAGGTTAACAATGGAGTCAATTGAATTGATTATTGATCTATTAGAATTAAGATTAAAAACCGTTTACACTTTACTATACCGTTAATAATAAGAGATCTAAATGAGCTGTTGAAATACTTAATATAGAATTGATCAACAATTTACTTAAATTAAAACTTAAGATTCAAGATTAAGATTGATAACTTTTAAGTGATAGCAGATAACGATAAATGATAACTGTTTACTGTCAACTGATAGCTCATAGGCATGGAACTTATCAGATAACGGCTTAGTTTCTGCACTCAGCAGTCAGCAGTGAGCAGTCAGAACTCAGATTTCAGAAGTCACAAGTGACAACAAGTCTACAGTTTACACAATTACAATCAACAATCAATTATCAACAATCAACAATCAACAACGTAGACGCCACTCGCCAGACGGTAGACGCAAGACGTAGTAAAGTACATTCTAGGGCACACGCCATACGGTAAAACCAAGATAACAAACGATTAGCATTCTGATAACTACACGTGCGTCGTGTATCGGTGTCTCGCATTGATATCATCGACTGACATGCAATTTCCTCCAATCACAAGACAAGCAGCAGACCACGTGAATAAATTTTATCCAACGCGAACGCGCACAAAATTAATAGAGGTCGATATAATGGTATATTTTTGCTGCCTATGCGCGGCTCGATTTTAATATTTCGTGGGTTTAACACGCGCGCGTCTTGGTCAAAATTTAATTTTCTTTGTTTTCTTAGACGTCGTGTTGGTAAACATTACTGATTACACAATACACACTACACTGTAACTTCACGCGACGGACAAATCTCGGCGAGCGAAGCGAGCCGGCTCCGGATAGGGGCGGCAAATTTCAATTAGCAGGGGGGCGGCACAAAGTAACGTTACGCCACTGACACTAGAGGTACACAAGCTCACCTTTGTGCTCTTATCTGGTCAACACACTGTACACTAGAGGTACACAAGCTCACCTTTGTGCTCTTATCTGGTCAACACACTGTACACTAGAGGTACACAAGCTCACCTTTGTGCTCTTATCTGGTCAACACACTGCTTACATCTTTTGTAGTTGTGCTCTTATCTTACGATTACACAGCATATATAGTACCTTTTGTAGTTGTAGTCTTTATACTCTGCACTCTCTTGAGTCACATAACAGTTTACTCTTGGTTGCCCGCAGTTTTGTTGATATCTCCTAGTCAGTACAAGATACAAGTTCAGGTCCCTCCCGAGCTACACCAACCGGCCGACCCCCCCTACAGCTAGTATAGTGCCTCGGCACAGAGTGGCTTAGTGTTACTGAAAAGGAGATAAGCACCTCAGGCCATCCCAACTTGTGGGAGAGACCTGCCCTTGTATCTTGTATCCTAGTCAGTACACCCCGCTTTCTTGCACGGGCCCACACACGTAATGGGACGAGATAATCTCACACCCTGCACATGAGACACGGCACACCTTTTTATCCATTGCCGCTTACCCTTCGGTGTTAAGACCGCTTCTTGGCACTTTCCCTTCCTCGGCTATCCGATACTGTTATTAAAAATCTTTACTGTACTAAAGCCATCAATGTTGGACTACTGGTCATCGTTAATGCCGGCACTTAGGAAGTGTTTCCATTCCTATTTACAACTCTTATCTTGAACAGACGACAAAAACGTGATCTAATTACGTTTGACACGTTACCTTTGAGTGTCGCATCAGTAACTCACTAATTCGCTAATTCATATCTCTGCGAAACACCTTAAAAGGCTTATCTTCCTTGTGCGTAACCATAGTAACGATGACCAGAAGATCAAGGACCTTGATACTGCAATTTAGTCCGTTTCTTGATATTTCAGTTCTGTAGTGGTGTATTTATTTTGAAAGTGTAGGATAACACAGTAGCCTCTGTTCAGCAGATTTAGAATGAGGGGCCGGCCCGCTCACTGCCCAGCTAAATAGGTCGCTCTTGTATCAGGTCCATCAGCCAGGGAGACAAGGAGCTCCCTTATTGTAGAGACTAAAGGGCCCTTAAAGCACCACTAAGTGGGGAGGTGGTGTTTGCAACTAGAAGACATGGCTGCCGTGGCCGCTATACATGTGGCTCGGATCAAGAGGGCTAAAGAGAAGGAGAACCAGGGCTACATGATCTCCTCTCCGGGTCCCGAGGGTAAGAGCACAGAGCATTCGCTTATAATACATTGCCCTGTACTAGCTACATTGCCATGTACAAGCTGTGCACAACATTGTATGTGTATATTGTTCAGCCTTATAATATATACTCGATGTTGCAGCCCAATAACACTCTTTGTACTCTGCAAATTCCATCTCTGCAAATTCCATCTCACCATGTTTTACCACTCGACTAATCTAACTTGTACTTACCGTTACAGTCGACTGTCGAGGTGAAACTTTCAGAGATGAAGAGTTTCAGTTCATTGCGTATTTCGGTTTATTCTCTCGGTATACTTTATATCGATATTTACAATGTAATCGGGTTTGTTAAAGCTTATTCGTGTAAGGTTTGGGGTGCGTTGAATATTCCAGCTTCAATGTCTTACTCTTATTTAACAAGCTGTGCAGCAAGAACTTGGGCTGATAGCTGGCATGAAATAACACCACTGAACGACATTTCTACTTAAATATTTTTATTATTATTTATTTCTACTTAGTAAATATTTTCTTGTATTGTCTCATAAGGTAATACATCTCACTATTCTCGTTGCTAGTTGTATATTACCTTGCCGCTGTATTTTTGGCATGATGGGAGAATCGTATATAACTTATGCTTGAGACTGAAACATTGCAGTAAGGTGATTACTGTAGTATTTACTACAGTAATGTAAATTATTTTCGACGTCATCAGAAAACGGGATCATTTAGTGCACTAAATTAGGTTTAAATACAAATTGAACTTTAATTGGTTTATGTACAAAAGTTATATAGAAAAAAACCTATTTCTTAGGCAACTGCCTGGACCTTTCAAAACAGATAATTAAATATAGTTTTATTATAGTATATCATTGATATCCAATTTAATGGAATTTGAGATCACAATTCCACGCAGCACCAAATTGAAATACAAACTGAAAGATAATTCAGAACATGTCGTAATCTAAAAGGAATATACGGTAATTTGTATTATTAGTAAGATACCGTGCTGCTCCACTCATTCTATGCACTCCAGTGAACTTTAAACCAACCTTTAAACGTTTCAAAAGTAATAATGAAGTGCAGTAGTACTACCAATTAGCATTTTTTGCTCATTAAGGACTAGCTGTGTCTATCAGCTGAAAATTCTTATACTCCTTGCCTGCTTTTATAGCCTGCTTTTCGCAATGATCAAATGAACTAAACATTTTGATTAATGAGAGCAGAATGTAAGGTGTTATGCGGAGTATAACACACTGCTGTAGGAGTAGGAGAGTGAGCAAATTAATAACACACTACCCGACCTCTAAGTGTACAGCATATTGGTCCTAAAGACTGCTCTGTTAAACCTCATTATTTCTCACTGCGTTTTTTCTTTGATCACGACACGCTTAGATGTGATGCCATTTACTCTACTTTCCACAAAATATAACATTTTTCATTCACTTTTTTTGTAGATTGCAAAACATAAAGTAATCTAGAGATTATTTAAGAAGTAAATTACAAGGAATGATCTGAACTGTCTGCAGCTGATATCAGGTATAATAATAGTATTAGTATCTTATATAATATGCTACCCTAGCTTCATACCTTGGTACTCTGGCTAAACATTAATATTGAATATTCAAAACTTGATAGGAAGTAACGTCTCCCACCTCCGCATCTAAATATTATAATAGATTTTCTTGATAAATCATGGGGGCCTGGGCGAGGTTGTCACATTCCCAAATACCCTCCCTCATCACTCGACCTTGCTGACGTCAGCAAAGTCCTTCTTTCCGCTCCGTTTCCTTCTTTCCGTTTCCTTCTTTCCGCTCCGTTTCCTTCTTTCCGCTCCGTTTCCTTCTTTCCGCTCCGTTTCGTTCTGATCTGCTTTGAAAAGCAACCCTCTGTACATACTTACATTACTCTCAGCTACTAGTTATACATGTGCACTTCGGCTGGGCGAGGTAGAATTTACTTTAAAGTTGGTATCATTTCATTTCAAAGTGTTATACATAATTACGTAATTACATAATTACATAATTACATAATTGCATAATTTCATAATTACATAATTAGATTCTCCTAATCAATGCCACCACATTTTAAAAAGCATATTTCCCATAGGAAATATAAACAATCTATGTACACAGAATGGTTGGTGAATTCTAGATAAATTTAATCTGATGTAATTTTATTAAAGAGCTTGTAAAAAACAATTTCGATAACATTCCCGATGCTGTCGCCTTGGTATTATCAGTAGCAATGATTAATTTTGGTACATTCATTGTGTCTTAACCATTGAAAATAAAAATACCATATATATAATTTTTGTAACTATTTATTTGTAGCTTCTTTCACGAACCACGTATTGTTGTGGTCAAATTGAATTCATTGCGATTGAAAAGTACGGTCATAATTAAAGTTTTAAAACATATCCTTTAGACTGAATATATATATATAACTGGTATCAAATTAATTTTTCGTGTGCTTTCACACACTTTTATCTACGAATACCTGCATATCCACAATTAACAGTAATAAAATAGTTTATACTGTACTACTTCACAGTTGTAAGATTATACATTCTGTCATACTGGAGACGAGGTCTACATTCCTTTGAGTAGAGCAATTTGATGTTTTATTATTATTATATATTATATATATATTATATATTATTATATATTATATAGTTTTTAAATTGGCTTAAATCATTATATTTGTCAAATTATAGATACAGTCTATTAATCAATATAATCCATTAGAATATTTAAGAATAGAACAGCTGATTTACCAACTCTAAGTGAGTGTTACGACAGTGTACTGAACAAAACATAAATTAGCGCGCCACTGTTTACAGCACTATTACTGTACTACTGTACTATTTGTACCGCACAAAACATAAATTAGCGCGCCACTGTTTACAGCACTATAACTGTACTACTGTACTATTACTGTACTACTGTACTATTACTGTACTACTGCACTATTACTGTACTACAGCACTATTACTGTACTACTGTACTATTACTGTACTACTGTACTATTACTGTACTACTGTACTATTACTGTACTACTGTACTATTACTGTACTACTGTACTATTACTGTACTACTGTACTATTACTGTACTACTGTACTACTGAACTATTACTGTACTACTGTACTATTACTGTACTATAATTACTGTACTACTGTACTATTACTGTACTACTGTACTATTACTGTACTACTGCACTATTACTGTACTACAGTACTATTACTGTACTACTGTACTATTACTGTACTACTGTACTATTACTGTAATACTGTACTACTGAACTATTACTGTACTACTGTACTATTACTGTACTATTACTGTACTACAGTACTATTACTGTACTACAGTACTATTACTGTACTACAGTACTATTACTGTACTACAGTACTATTACTGTACTACAGTACTATTACTGTACTACAGTACTATTACTGTACTACAGTACTATTACTGTACTACAATACTATTACTGTACTACTGTACTATTACTGTACTACTGTACTATTACTGTACTACTGTACTACTGTACTACTGTACTATTACTGTACTACTGTACTATTACTGTACTACTGCACTATTACTGTACTACTGCACTATTACTTTACTACAGCACTATTACTGTACTACAGCACTATTACTGTACTACTGCACTATTACTGTACTGCAGCACTTTTACTGTACTACTGCACTATTACTGTACTACTGTACTATTACTGTACTACTGTACTATTACTGTACTACTGTACTATTACTGTACTACTGCACTATTACTGTACTACTGCACTATTACTGTACTACTGTACTATTACTGTACTACTGTACTATTACTGTACTACTGTACTATTACTGTACTACTGTACTATTACTGTACTACTGCACTATTACTGTACTACTGCACTATTACTGTACTACAGCACTATTACTGTACTACTGTACTATTACTGTACTACAGTACTATTACTGTACTACTGTACTATTACTGTACTACTGTACTATTACTGTACTACTGCACTATTACTGTACTACTGCACTATTACTTTACTACAGCACTATTACTGTACTACAGCACTATTACTGTACTACTGCACTATTACTGTACTACAGCACTTTTACTGTACTACTGCACTATTACTGTACTACTGTACTATTACTGTACTACTGTACTATTACTGTACTACTGTACTATTACTGTACTACTGCACTATTACTGTACTACTGCACTATTACTGTACTACTGTACTATTACTGTACTACTGTACTATTTGTACCGCACAAAACATAAATTAGCGCGCCACTGTTTACAGCACTATAACTGTACTACTGCACTATTACTGTACTACTGTACTATTAGTATTACTGTACTACAGTACTATTACTGTACTACTGTACTATTACTGTACTACTGTACTATTACTGTACTACTGTACTATTACTGTACTACTGTACTATTACTGTACTACTGTACTATTACTGTACTACTGTACTATTACTGTACTACTGTACTATTACTGTACTACTGTACTATTACTGTACTACTGTACTATTTGCGGTATTCCGACCCTACGTTCTGACACACGACACTTCCTAACTGTCAGTTATACTGCAGACTACAAACCTGTACTTGTTCGTGTCTTGTTATCCCGGCTACACGTTTCTCTGACTGTTACGCATGTACTGGGCACTGTCAATATTAGCAGGGTATGTACTGGGCACTGTCAATATTAGCAGGGTATGTACTGGGCACTGTCAATATTAGCAGGGTATGTACTGGGCACTGTCAATATTAGCAGGGTATGTACTGGGCACTGTCAATATTAGCAGGGTATGTATCAATGCGAGGGAAGTGTTTCCAGACTGAGTGAAATCCATGTAGTCGTTATTTCGCATACAAAGATTTATCAGCTATTTGTCTTGTGGCTATTATCATTGCATGAACACACGTCACACTGTAATGTCTTCACCACAACTGCTTAGTCCAGTACATTAATAAATTAAACCAGTATAGAAACTGTACAATTGTCGAATGTCGGCCCTACAGATAGTCCGTTTGAAGCAAAATACAATCCCTCTGCAGTTTATGAGTACAATGTTAATAATCACTCCTTCCTGTATGTATGCTTGCTAAATTGCTGTTTGTTTGTCGATTCAGCTAAATATTCATTATCATGTAATAGCGAGTTGTTGCATATAACTATTTAATACTTTAATAATAGCCATTCATCAGAGCGGCGAGATGCATTTGTCTGAAGCTATAAACCCGTTACATTTGTAGTAAGACACTGAGCTTTTGCATCGGCAAACTTGCGGTTTTTCTTTATTTTATCGTTAACTTTTCTTTCTTGTTTTTCACGTCAAACTTTGTCAAAATACTAAAATACTGCCTCAAATTCTGTTTTTAAATTTAGGCAACTGCTCCTGCTTCCTGCTGAGAGAAGGCTACTGAATTAGTAAAATCAATTAGGTAACATTTACTAAACAATATCACTTATTATAAACTAGAATAAATCGTTAAAATTGAAAATTTTTACTTAATTGAGAGTTATCTTAATGTCTGCTTATGACGACTAATTTATATAGTTTTCTAAGTTTTCTTTTGTCGGATCGTATTCATAGATCTCTTACTATCGAGATTTGTAGTAAGATTATTTCGATAGTCAATTGGAACAGTAAACAAAGGATCTGGGAACAATTTGGTGAATTATCTTATATAGGCATCACGTGAATTGTGCCAGTAACATGGTAATTTTAATACCGTTTCCTCCCAACACAGCGTATAAAAACACGGAAATTACAGGATTCGTTAGCCATTCTCTTCTAATTGGGTTATAGAATTGTCAAGTTGGTTATAAATAGTAACATATGGAAAAGGATGTACCCCAGGACTCTATTTCCTTTTTTCAGGGCAATATTGATATGCCTAAGCACAAATCTTTAAAAAGCTGTGTTATCGCTAAATGAAACTATTGTACTGTAATATTAAGCTGTATTCATAGAGTTTTACATAAACGAATGAATGGTTTATTGGATAGTTTGGACAAAATTAGAAATTTATAGATAATCAGAATTAAGTACTTCATTACTTAATAACTTAATCATTCTACCTGACCCAATTTCTAATCGTGAAGTCTAACGAAAAATGTCCCTAAATTTATCGTATCTAGGAATTTAATTACTTGTGATAAAAAAATCACTTGTTTGACGTACTTAACAACGATGCTCTGTCTGTCTGTCTGTCTGTCTGTCTGTCTGTCTGTCTGTCTGTCTGTCTGTCTGTCTGTCTGGTGTCTGTCTGTCTGTCTGTCTGTCTGTCGGTCGGTCGGTCGGTCTGTCTGTCTGTCTGTCTGTCTGTCTGTCTGTCTGTCTGTCTGTCTGTCTGTCTGTCTGTCTGTCTGTCTGTTTGTCTGTCTGTCTGTGTGTAGGGGCGAGGGGTATTGCTTGTGCAAGACAGGGAATTATGGTATGTTGCGGTATGATCGGTTGTAACACTATATCAATATGTCTAGCACTACAATACAGTGGACTATAACGATGTCTGTTTCTATAGCAAAACTAACGTGGTGCATATTTCAGGTCCCAATGCGATGGCGGGAGTATCGGCGATAGCAGCTGCTTCTCTACGGAGCTCAGACAATGTGCTCAGTGGGCACCTGGCGGGTACTCCTATTGAGATACGAGAAGAAAACCAGACTGACACCCTCATCAGGATCAATGTTAGTGGGACTCGTTACATAACCTACAAGGATACTCTCCAGCAGTTCCCCAACACTCTGTTAGGTTCCGAGCGTATCTCGCACTTTTACAACGAGGATATTAAAGAGTATTTCTTCGACCGGAATAGGATAGCATTTGACGCTATCTTGTATTATTACCAGTCGGGAGGGTACCTGTACCTGCCTCCGGGCCTCGAGATGCCTGTATTCCAAGAGGAGCTGCAATATTTCGAGATCCCTTCTAATCCGACAGGAGAGGTTAAGGAGGCGGACAAGGAAAGTCTCATAGACAACTACCCTTACAACAAATACTTTCTCAAACTCCACTACATCTTAGACCACCCTGATTCGGGCATCTTAGCCAAGCTCTGGATGGTCTTAGACGTGGTTTTCATTGTCATCTCCATGACACTGTTCATCGCCGAAACGGACCCAAAGGTCGAGCAAACCATTAACGAGTCGAAAGAAGTGGAACAAATATTCTTTTACTTGGACGCGGTTTGCATAATATTTTTCACCATCGACCTCCTATTACGACTTATTGTCGCTCCCAGCAAACAGAATTTTTTTAAACGAACTCTGAATTGGCTTGACTTTGCTGCGATTCTCCCATTTTACATCGAAATTCCATTGAAAGACAGTTCCGGAATCACTGCCTTGCGGGTTTTGCGATTATTTCGAGTATTACGTATCTTAAAAGTTATTCGACATTCGAAGCAGTTAATACTAATCCTGCAAGTTTTGAAGCAATCTTGCCGAGAGTTACTACTTCTGGTCGTCATGTGGGCAATGGGAGTGGTGACTTTTGGTAGTATCATGTATTACATAGAGGAAGATCAGCCGGACAGTGAGTTTAACTCAATTCTCAAGGCGTGCTGGTGGGCGGTGGTTACTATGTCAACGGTAGGTTACGGCGATTTATACCCCACGTCTGTGCCTGGCAAGTTAGTTGGGTCAGTTGTTGTTTTCTTGTCGATGGTGTTCATGGCCCTCCCCATGACGATCATCGTGAGCAAGTTCAGTCGGGCGTACGAGGAGATGAAAGAGCCACATCAGATGGTGGGTGGGGGACTGGAATCTCAGCAGGGCAGTCAGCTCTCCATTAACGGCAAACCTGACGTGGAGAGCGGGCCCGACAAGCTCCACCCACCGAGCCACAACTCTACTGCTTTGTGAGGAGTTATTTTATTGTTTTATTATTGGGGAACTCTCAGACTCTAGTTACTTCACCGAGTAATCATTTCCGTGGCAACCGCTATTTCATCTGGTTACTGTTGCCATGGTAACCGTTACTAAACTAGTCGTTCTCTCCGGGGTTAAAGTAAAGCTTCACTTTTTAAAGATTGGTTTGATTAAATACACGTAGTAGAGTCACATATGAACCGTTACGGTTACTATGGTAACCGTTGCGGTTACTTAGGTTTTGAAACGCCGATCATTTATAATATAAACGCGATGATTGATAATTGATGGTTGAATTATCAACACTTGTCGTTGATAACTAGTATAGGGGAGTAAAACTAAACAAAATTTAGATTTATACCCCTTTATTGTGGGTAGTCCCATCTAACAATGATTTTTAGCTAATTTTATTATATTTCTACCAAAGATATCGTGTCATTCTAAACAAAAATGTCAATACTACCTACATCAAAGATAATCCGTTAAATATCAATATAAAAAATGGGTTCCAATCAATAAATTATCAATGAATTTTGAAAGGATATGATTGGAAAACATTTAGGTTTGCCATTTCTTACTTCGAATAGGATTAATATTTTTCTAAGCTAAGATTCATTTTAAGCATGGAATTGATGAGTCACATTATTTCGAATCACAACAGATATAAAATGCCCGTTATTTAGGTTTTACTGCCTTCTGTTTTGGAAGCGCAAGTCCAAATTAGCTTATCCTGAAGTCTTTATGAAAATTAGTAACCTGCATGTTTGGTCATAGGTTGAAACGCCAACATCGAGTTAAATGTTGAAGAAATTTTGGTTGCAGGCACAAACCTTTTAATTTTATAACTCAAATGCATCTCACCGACTTTTCCCAATACCATGGTCCATGTATTTAACATGACTTTATAACCAAATCTAACCATAACTGGACCCTAAGTCTACAAAATTTCTTACCCTAAGATATTAAAAATATATCGAAAAATAATAAGCGCCAAGAGTTGGCACAGAATGTTTTCTCTCCGACTTCAATAAATTTTGTACTAAAATTTGTCAAAAAATGTGAATAAAATAATTCCACCGTGAAGCACAATTATTATTAATATTCATCAAAAAATGTATGGCGAATGGTTGCCTCGCACTTTTTTCGGGTCGTTATCAGCTGAACACTAACAGGACAAAACATTTTGTACTAATGTTGTTCGATTATTTTGAAAAATTTGAATCCAACTTCAAACTTGCAACTATTGTAATTTTGGCACCAAAATTTGTGTCTGGCCAAGCTGATTACGATCTTAACATTATTTTTAAATAAGCGATATTTTTGTTAAACTAAAACATACAGTCATTTTTAAATTGTTCACTCTACACATGTGCACGTGCAGCTTGACCTAACCGTGCTTCAAGGTGAATTTATATTGTTCACACTTAGAGACAACTTTTAGTACAACATTTACAATTTATTTGACAGTTTGACATACGTTGCATGCCACTTTTCGCGCGCCGAAACATGTATCAACAATTTATCATAATCCATAATCGGAGTAAAAAAGGTCTGGCACTTATTACACTGACTATTTCTTGTTGCAGTTGTTATAAGACTGCATTGTGTAAGTGCTTATAAGAACTATCCCTGAGCGAGCTCTCGATTTGCTGTTTATAAGTATAATGTTTATTACCTTGCTTGCTAATAATGTTTATAGCCCATGAAATTCACGTTCTATGTGGCCCTGCGTAAATATAGAAGCTGTATAATAATGACGTATGACCAACGAGTGATAGGGTTACAATGACTACTAGTACTGGCAGAGGACAGCAGGGCATTGGTCTAACTCTAACATCGGGGAGCTTGCCAAGAAAAATGACCCCGTTGTTTAAATGTTCATGTGTATCAATTATCTAGAACAAGCATTTGTCTTTGTCTAGTTGATTCCTCACTCCAACACTCCTCATTAGCTTGTATTACTATTATAGTAGTTGTAAAATGTACTAAGTAGCCGTCGGTTTGTTCAATTATTCAACCTTTACCATACCATTTATTGAAGTAGAAGTTACTTAGAATTGATAAAAATGAGCTCACGTTATTTGGCTCGCTCAATAAATAAGGGTTAGGAGGTTAGTTGCTACACGTTGCATACCTCTTTTATCGCGCTACAACATACAATGTACAAGCGTCGGCCAACTTTTCGTGAAGAAAGCGGCGCGCGCTACTTCGAAGAAATTTAGACGAGTAACATCCGTCAGTAGGAAGTATAATGCATCGGCGGTCATGCTTGTCAGCACTGTGATAGACTTACTGGGCAGCGCTCAGCCTGTCATTCCGCCGAATCTCTATTATGTGTACGAACATAATAGCCTGAGGTCCCCAGGTAACAAGGGCTCTGGATAGAGCAAGGGCTAGTCCACTAACAATTATAAACAAATTAACAGATATAAGTGCAAATTGTGCTCACACTATTATTACTGGGCCGCGCTCAGCCTGTCATTCCGCCAAATCTTTATGTTAATGAACATAATTATAGCCTGGGGTCCTCAGGTAAACACTATATTACTACATTTTATAGAAACGGATTTAAACATTAACAATCGGACGTGCTAACTGCTTGATTCACGATGTTAATCCTTTGCAGCTCGGTGAGGCACAGTGGTGCATCTCGCCGATCTACCGAAGAAGAATTATTTGATGCGCGGCGCGACCCAGTAGTGCATCGCGCTACAACCCAGTCGTGCACCGCGTTACCTGGGGACCCCAGGCTTTTATGTTCATAAACATAAATAAAGATTCGGCGGAATGACAGGCTGAGCGCCGCCCAGTAAGCACCGCGTTACAACTTTGTCCATTGTTAATGGCCTAACTGCTCTAACCAGAGCCCTCTCGCTTGCAGTAGCGCGTCATGGTCACGCAGTACGCGTAGACATGACACATACACATGGCTATGTGAACATAACCTAGACTGAGTAGCACAGTGCGCGCTACTTTGTAGCACTTGCCTCGGCAATATTGAATATTTCGAGAAGAAAACGGCGCAATTCCTGATCAAGGGATTTCCCAATTATTTTTGATTTAGAATTCCCGACCGGGATTTTTTGTTTTTATTATTCGCGCGCCCGAATTTTGGGAAATTTTATGCAATGTAATTTTCAAAAATTTAGCGCTTAGATTAGCTTACTGGGCCGCGCTCAGCCTGTCATTCCGCCAAATCTTTATGTTAATGAACATAATTATAGCCTGGGGTCCTCAGGTAAACACTATATTACTACATTTTATAGAAACGGATTTAAACATTAACAATCGGACGTGCTAACTGCTTGATTCACGATGTTAATCCTTTGCAGCTCGGTGAGGCACAGTGGTGCATCTCGCCGATCTACCGAAGAAGAATTATTTGATGCGCGGCGCGACCCAGTAGTGCATCGCGCTACAACCCAGTCGTGCACCGCGTTACCTGGGGACCCCAGGCTTTTATGTTCATAAACATAAATAAAGATTCGGCGGAATGACAGGCTGAGCGCCGCCCAGTAAGCACCGCGTTACAACTTTGTCCATTGTTAATGGCCTAACTGCTCTAACCAGAGCCCTCTCGCTTGCAGTAGCGCGTCATGGTCACGCAGTACGCGTAGACATGACACATACACATGGCTATGTGAACATAACCTAGACTGAGTAGCTCAGTGCGCGCTACTTTGTAGCACTTGCCTCGGCAATATTGAATATTTCGAGAAGAAAACGGCGCAATTCCTGATCAAGGGATTTCCCAATTATTTTTGATCTAGAATTCCCGACCGGGATTTTTTGTTTTTATTATTCGCGCGCCCGAATTTTGGGAAATTTTATGCAATGTAATTTTCAAAAATTTAGCGCTTAGATTAGCTTACTGGGCCGCGCTCAGCCTGTCATTCCGCCAAATCTTTAATTAATTAAATGTTAATGAACATAATAGCCTGGGGTCCTCAGGTAAAGATTAGCTTGATTGACGATGTCAACCCATCGAGATCGTTTCTCGATGCAAAGCAAGAATGCTAGTTTGAGCGGCGCGTCGAAGCGGCAAAGTCCTCCAAAGATTAACTTGTTGCGTTGATGCTCAATCATAAATTGTAAATGCTCACGCTGGGTAATAATTATTGATCATGATATAAGGGGTCGTTCACATATTACGTAATCAGCTGAGGGCCGGGGGAGGGGTTTTCGAATTATTACGCTATAGTGTAATTTTGACACAATAGCTATGTTGAACTTGTATGATTACGGAGGGCCGGGGGTAAAAATGTTCCAAAAATGATAACGTAATATGTGAACGACCCCTAACATTGACGGATGTTACTCGTCTAAATTTCTTCGAAGTAGCGTGCGCCGCTTTCTTCTCGAAATGTGGCCCGATGGCAAATGCTACGAAGTAGCGCGCGCCGGGCCAGATCATTAACAATGGTCAACCCCTAACAGTAACACTAATCGCCAAACGTGCTTCTATTGTATGTTACGTTGTACGTACGTATTGTTGATTAAACTGTTGTAAAATTTGCGCGCGCATCTAGCAGCCAGATTCAACCACTTTGTCTTTAAATTTAGATCTGTGCATGTGGAGTGTGCTTGCTTTGCTGCGTGCGAGTTGTTTTGATCGTTTACATAACACGTCAATTAATCATTTTGACTTTTACCTGGGGACCTCAGTGCTCAGGCTATCAGTATCATGTTCATAAATAGAAATTCGGCGAGCGTGCTAAATCACTCTACAGTCGATCTTCGAGATATATTGTTCTAAAAGGGCCCCCGACTATTTTAACCAACTTCAATCGATGTATTTTCGGACGCTGATTCCGAATCACCCCCCCTACCTTGACATAAGGTTAAAATGCTCCCCTGACGAGATATTGGCGAAAAACTGTCTCGATCACGTGATATGACCGTATAAGGAAGTTAGTCTAATTTCTCGTTAGGGTTAGGGTTTCAGCAAATGTTTTTGTTAAGGATTGGGTTAGGGTTAGGGTTGGGATCAGATTAGAGGGTTAGGGTTTCGAAAAGTCGTTCAGAACCAGCTAGAGAACAAATTGAAAAAGTCACGTGACAGTCGAGTGTAGAGTGCAGATTAATCATCATCCGAAATTCGGCGCGGCTGAATGACTTACTAAGCGGTGCTCAGCCTGTCATTCCGCCAAATCTTTATTATATTATGTTTATGAACATAATAGCCTGGGGTTTGTAGGTTTACAACCTACCAGGACGCGCGCTGAGTTGGACTCGTCGACGGTCCCAATATATGGAACAGATATTTTACGAGTATCACCCGTTAACCTGGGGTCCCCAGGTAGCAGAATGACAGGCTGAGCGCGGCCCAGTTATCCGACTTTATTACCTTTTTTTGCAAACAAAGCTTTAGCTAGATGTCTGAGTCTAATGCGAATTCAGGTGACGATGTAAATTAAGTTCTTGAGGTTCAAAGTCACTCTCAGAATGATTCTTCAATTCGCTTTTTTGTTTTTATTTTATCTTTAATCTTCTTTTGACAAAAGATGTGCATTTTCATTTAATTGACTTGTATCACGTTGCGATCCCCACGGTCGTTTCACGATACCCCCACGGTCGTTTCACTATACAGGGGGAGCCGCGCACTTCGTGCGCGGCGGGTCACATATACAACGTATGACAATAATTGACAATGTCAATTTATCACAACTCGGCGAGTCCCAGTGGCAGTTGCAAGTTGCGCGCCATCTCGCCGATCTCAGATCTAGCGAGAAGCACAATTGTGAATTGAGTGCGCAGCCCAGTAACGCATCGCGCTACAACATTTTCATTTGTTATCTTCAATTTGAATGGATATTGGATAAACTGAAAGTTTTGAACTAATCTTCAACGATTCTAATCAAAACTGCAATTGACACAGTGAGCAGCAGTTAGCAGAGTTTCTTTGCACTTAGCCCCTCCTGTGTCTATACTGCTTCAAGTACACTTTTATGAAACTCGTAGTCGAACTCCAGGATTGGCACCATTTGTTTTAACAAACTTTCAATGTTCGGGATTCCCGAATCCCGGGATTTAAAAATGAAATCGGGAATGACTTCACTAGCTACAAGCTACAAGCCACAAATCCTAATGTAAAATAAAACAACTCAATTAGCGGGACGGCGAATTTCTTCAAGAATAATATTACAGATTATAGAATCGATTCAAACATTTATTCAATCAGATCACACAGTTTCACCAAGAAACTCAAAATTTTAACGGAACAAAACACAGCAATATTCATACTACAAAAATATGATCTTATGAAGAGTCAAAGTTGTATTTAACTCAGAACACTTAAATTGTACGTATTTTAAAACTGTTCAAAATTCTTAGATTCATTTCAATTCTACCAATTTCATGCTTAGCATATTACACAGTTTCAAATATGTCGAAGTGAACGTTATAAAAGCCTTATCAGATAGATGGAAATTATATATTATGGCTTTGACTAATTCGCATCCTAAAATACACCTAGAAAAGATTACTTTCATACCCTCGGCCTCAGGGCCTTTTCACACAGGTCACAGACACGAGAATTTTCAAAAATTTGGGCGAGCGATTTAGTGGGAGCGTCATATTATACTCGACTGAGCAAGGTGCAAGGGCAATTTTATTCAATGGTACCGTTAGAATATATTAAATAAATTTGATCGTTCGATCTGAACTTAAAATGATATCAAAAATTTTCAAACAGATCGAAAATTTTGGACTTTGCAGAACATATATGTTCAACAGTTAAACTGGGGGTTGAAAAATACAACTCTGGTAATTTATGTTTAGGTTGGTTCATAACGAAATAGTAAGAAACAGAGTTGAAGTGTTCATTTGTCTGATTGGTACGAAACATACAAGACTTTTAACAATTTTAAATAATGAATCACCTCCAAATGTATTTTAATTTTCTGTAAATATTATTTAACAACTCATACTATGTACTACATAAACATTCAAAAACAGAAATAATAATATCTCAATTCAAAATTTTCTCATTAAAGCATGGTGTTATTATCAACGTGTAATCAAAGAAATAAAAGAAAGTTACGCGAATTCAGTTCAGCCACGAAAACAGATTTTGTCTATTTAAAATTAAGTAATGATTACTTATGTTTGCAATGAAACTGATCATGCAGTGACTTTCTTGTTTCAGTGCCCGTTCAAGATATGGAATCAAGGAGATGCTTTCGTGGCAGCTATGGAAGGCTAAATTCAGGAAGCTGGTACGAATCTCAAGAGCAGGGACAATTTGACTCCGTTCTTGTGGAGGAGTTGTTGTTTCGTTGCAAGCCAGTCCGAGTTGAAGCACTCTCCGTACCGTATTGGATACCACTGCCCATTTTGTCTGGATCCAGCTCAGCTGTGAGGTTGTTAATTAAAAATAAACCGTTTTGGACCTACTTATGATGATGTTTATCGAAGGTAGTAGCAGTATGGAAAGCAAAAAGTTTGAAAAGGAGTTTTCGCGGTCCACTTCTACTGCATGTTCAACTTCTCTAAATTTAGAAGATTGTAAAGTCTAGGAACAGCTACAGGGAAAGTTAATCTCATATTCGTCCGAGTCGGGATATAATATTGAGAAGAGTTGAAAACTGGATAAATATCAGAAGAAAAAAATAACTTTTTGTAAAACCCGAAAAGAATTTCCACGCCAGATCAGCAATGTTAAAACAACTTCTTCACCCTTTTAAAACTTAACCACCTAATTCGGGTAATTCATGTGCTCGAACCGCCAACAGCTAGTGAGATCGAAACTGCCTGATCATAGTGCCGCAATTTTAACCAGGTTGGTTGCTTAACCAATACATATTAACCAATATATGATATTAACCAATACATATTGATCAATATATGATATTGATCAATATATGATATTAACCAATATATGATTTAACCAATTGCAATATAGCCCAATATATGATATTAACCAATACATATTAAGGGGGCAGGGGGGGGGGGGGGGGGGGTCTTTATGAAATTTCTCTCGAAATTGATTTTATAGTTGTTTCTGATAGAGGGGAGTGATAAATATCTGCTGCTTTTGATCCTATGGAAAAATATTGTTCCTAGCCGAAGTTATTGCCGGTCAAAGGTCAGCGCTCATGTGTAATTGTATTGCGCGAGCGATTTTCAATTGCGCACCCTGAAAATCGAGTCTAAAAATCTATCTTCTCCTACATTTTTTGAGCAATCACCTTGAAACTTTCAGGATATGTTCTAAGGACCATTTAGAAACTTCTGGTCGATCAGAATTTTGAGATTGGCCTTAGAAAAATTTTATTCGATTTAGAAAATCGTGGACCTCGTTTTTTGACGATTTTTCCAGGTCCGGGATTTTCAAAATTAAATAAAAAATTTTAAAAGGCTTATCTCAAAATTCTGATCGACCAGAAGTTTCTAAATGGTCCTTAGAACATATCCTGAAAGTTTCAAGGTGATTGCTCAAAAAATGTAGGAGAAGATAGATTTTTAGACTCGATTTTCAGGGCGCGCGATTGAAAATCGCTCACGCAATACAATTACACATGAGCGCTGACCTTTGACCGGCAATAACTTCGGCTAGGAACAATTTTTTTCCATGCGACCAAAAGCAGCAGATAGATATCACTCCCCTCTATCAGAAACAACTATAAAATCAATTTCGAGAGAAATTTCATAAAGACCCCCCCCGGCCCCCTTAACCGATCAACTTGATGAATAAATTGAGGGAATCAAGCATTTATGTGGTATCAAGTTCACTAGAACCATCTATCTTCAGTAGCACTCCTCGTGCGATCTCTCAGAGGGTTATTAACATGATAAAATTGCTTGTTTTTTAATGACAGTAAAATATCATATGCTGCACACCAAAAAGTGGCCAACCCTCAAGAGGTATGTTGACTGTTGAGGAATGTTCAGAAAAAACTCACAGGTTTCTATTTTGGAAAGAATGGAGCTGGCACACTGCAGGAAGGTATCCTCAATATTGTCGCCGGTAAGAGCGCTGCCCTCCAGAAATATAAGATCTGATGGGTAATGAATTAGTTAGACTGACAGAGACACATCATAGGGGATCGTTCACATATTACGTAATCACTTTCTCGATAATTTTTACCCCCCCCCCCCTCCGCAATCAGTTTTACACATAGCTTTTGTGTCAAAATTACAGTAGCGTAATCTGAATCATTTGGAACCACCCCCCTCCCCTCAGCTGATTACGTAATACGTGAACGACCCCTTCAAGTTCCAAAAACCGAAGCTTCACATTATCCCGAAACAGAAACTTCCGTTTTTTCCCCGGAAGCTTTCAGGGATAAAATTTTCGCTCTATACTAATAATCCCAATAAATCTGTGGGTGTGTGGATGTGTGTGTGTACGTGAGTAATTTCCTAACTTCCTAACGATTCCTAACACATACCATTTTCCTGAGCGAAGGTGCTGGCTTCCAAGAAAGTGACCTCCCTGTCCTCCAAATCCTTCTTGTTCCCAACCAGGATAATGACAATGTTGGGGCTAGCGAGGGTGCGTGCATCAGTTAACCAGTCTGTTAGTGCGTTGAAAGAGTCACGTGAGGTAATGTCGTATACTAATAAAGCTCCTGCAGCACCTGGTAGAGATTAGTGGTGTAATTATATTAATTTATTAATCAATATTATTGTAATTATATTCTAGTGGCTAAGAAATATTTTATACTTTTTATCAAGATTTTGAACAAATATTAGTGTCCAAGATAAAATACTTTTAAAATTCGTTCAACTTAATTAATTATTTTTCATTTCTTAATTTCTCAATACTTACAATAATCAATTAATTAACCAGTGTTAATTAATAATTAGAATAATTGTCCCTAAACAGACCTCTGTAATAACTCCTGGTGACTGATCTGAATCTTTCTTGACCGGCCGTGTCCCAGATCTGAAGTTTAGCCCGTTTACCACGTACTTGGACTATTTTACTGCCGAACTCCACGCCAATTGTGTGGCTGCTGTCTGATTTAACTGAGGGGAAATAGGAATTAACACGTGCACAATAGGAATTAACACGTGCACAATAGGAATTTATAACACGTGCACATTATACGTACTAGATTCCAATGTAGAATAACTTCAATACATACCACACATTGCATTGCAACATGGCTGCATATAAACTTTCTAATAATTGTTGTTGGCGATGAGAAAAACTCACATACATAATACTCACATTTGTTCTCAATGAAATGATGGAGAATACAAGACTTCCCAACTCCTGCACTTCCAATAATCAGGAATTTGAAGAGAAAATCTGAAATAAATAGTATGTAAATAAATAATGTTAAAAATAGTATACCTGACGAGACAAATTTAAAAGGTACGAAATTCGGTGGTTAGGGTTATTAAAACACCATATTTTCGGACTACCAAAATTTAGGTCACCATAATTTTGTATGACCTATGGGCCATGAGAAACTGTAACTCTCATTTTTCAGGACAAACGTATAGTAATTTAAATTTCCAAACACAATTCAATAACATTTGGCTCGATCCGACTATCCAAACTTTCAAATAAATGCGAAAGTTAACCTTCATTTTTTAGAGATGAACCAATAAATAGTAAATTTAAACGACCAATACTTAAAAACTTTAAGTGACCATAAAAAAATTAGAAATGAATGGCAAAATAATTTGCATATACCAAGTAACCATGGTAACACTGGTAACCATATACGATAGTACATACCATAGTGCTCAGACATCTCCCCCTTTGTACTTGTTCTTTACATGTGTGACTAAGTTAATGAAATGGTTACTAATTACTTTAATTACTAATGGTTACTATAAGCAGTATTTTAAGGTAAACATTTTGAACAGATAGGGGTGTAGCGCCCCGATTTAACTTATATTTATGATATACTACGCAAATTTCGCTCAGATAATATGTATAAAAAGCTATTATCACTTTTTATGTAGAGATCAATTAAACGCATACGATCAAATAAAAGTAAAATTGAATAAATTATGAGAACGTGTTGAAATTATCATCATCACGGTTATCACCATCACGGTTAAAGTATAAAACTGATAAAACGGACCTAAATAAATTAAAACCTCTGCGTCACGCAATGTCCGTAATCTGCAGCGAAAACTGGGACATTCGACAAACATGTAAGACATAAGACATTTTGATGTTGCTTTTTGCAGGCAGAAATTTGTATTAACACAAACTGCGTTACAGTGCGTACTATTTCTCGTCTAACATAAACCATGAGAGTTCTAATCACGGCGGTACCTCTTGCCGCGTCCACCACGACCTCTGCCTCTCCCTCCTCGGGCTCCGTCAAACTTCCTCTTCCTGTTCTTCTTGTTGAAGAACTCTGCTTTTTCGTATGCCGATTTCTTCCAGTACTCCTCTTCTTCAGTGCCGTCAAGGACCTGTCCAGGGGAGAGTTAGAGATGGGACAGATTCTTTCTAGAATGGTAAGGAAAAAGGTCAGAATATCATCGGTTTAAGAAAATCGTCGGTGGTCAAAGTTGCAGTCCCCAAATGTATTGGACAAATTAGAAATTGAAGGCAGGAGGTTCGATAGTTCGAAATGTTGTGGCTGACCGTCGAAAGATGGTCACAACCATCAATGATTAAGAGCTTTTATGATGGACAAGGAAATAAAATTTTACTTCACAGGATTGAGGATGATGTCAAAACCTTAATGCGCGGAGTAAATAGTTTTGTTAGATCACACAAATTTATCACGTGATAAGAAAATTGTGTGCTTTACTTTGAAAAAGGTTCAATATTTGCGCGCGCGCCAGGCGAATCGGGACAAATTTTACTGCGCGTGTTATTGGACAGACTTCGTGTTCTTAAAAGACTTCGACAGTCGACAGATAAGTTTTAATACTTTCAACACTACTATTATATAATAAATAATATGAGGAAACAATGTAACAGAGTCAATATATTTTAATGTTGCCATGGGGTGCAGTGGCGTAACGAAGGGCCCTGCTGACCCTGCTGTGCAGGGGGGCGCCGTCTTAGGGGGGCGCCAAATCGTCGTTTGAATGTGGGACAATTTCGAAAACTTAACTAAAGTACTAGCAAAACTGCGCGTTTTGCTCTAGATACACACTTTTTTAGAGATTTTATCTGCGTATCCTCTAAAATCACCTAATTTGTTCAATTTTAGGGAGGGGCACCAAAAGGGGAGGGGGCGCCAACAGGGGGGCGCCTTTTCGGCAGGGGGGCGCCAACAGGCAACGTTACGCCACTGATGGGGTGGCAAGTCCCCATACATCGTGGTCCGGTAGTTTCATTGCGTCCTAATATATGACCTAATCTGACCTCTGGCGGCTGATCAGGTAATTTTCTAGTTACCATTCAAGCAAAGTTTACTGATACAGTAGCCCATGCGAATTTATTTCACACCGATGACGATGGAACACAGACTTACCACGGGGCTAGATTCTTTTCCTGATAGGATAAACTTTTCGTCCACTCTCACTTTCTCGAGAGCCTCTTGTGCACTACCTTCAAACCTGTTCAATAATTTGTTAGTCTAATTGGTTGTTCCAGTAAAAAACAAAAACTTTGTGAAACAATTCTTTTGCTCTGTCAATATTACCTAACAACAGCTATTTGCTCAACGTACAAATTGTTAAAAGTCAAGAATTGAGAACTTTTAAATATTAACCTGATATAAGCTTCAGGATCTCCCTTATTAAACGTGACCCACGATACACCGTGTCCTTCAAACAAGGTCTTCATGTCTTCTCTGCTGGTTTCTATGCCTTCTAATTCGCTGATCTTTAATATCTTACCTTTCTGCGAAACATTTCAACTTGTCAGTAATTATTTCAGTGAATGTTTTATTTGGGGGGGGGGGGGGGGGGGGGGGGGGGGGCAACGGTATAAAATGGAGACTTATTCTATGGAGAAAATGGAAAAACCTTTGAGTAATTCTCCATTTTATGCCATGAATTTTGGTCATTGAATTACGTATATGGCACCTTACTTGGGCACTCTAACATGTTTATTTAGGCATACCAGGCTCCGGCTCCTCAAAGCTCATACCAAGCTACTAGAGACTCATATGTTGATCAATAACTCCTAAATAAACATGTATAAATGCGGCTTCGTTTAAGCTCATTACGAAGTATCTAAAACTTTCAAAAACAAAGGGGCAGTTGCATCATTGAGTCAATACCGAAATCGTTCATTCATGCCATAAGAAAGCAGTGGCATAACGAAAGGCCCTGCTGACCCCGCTGTGCAGGGGGGCGCCGTCTTAGGGGGGCGCCAAATCGTCGTTTGAATGTGGGACAATTTCGAAAACTTAACTAAAGTACTCTAACAAAACTGCGCGTTTTGCTCTGGATACACACTTTTTTAGAGATTTTACCGGCGTATTCTTTAAAATCACCTAATTTGTTCAATTTTAGGGAGGGGCACCAAAAGGGGAGGGGGCGCCAACAGGGGGGCGCTTTTTTCGGCAGGGGGGCGCCAACGGGCAACGTTACGCCACTGTAAGAAAGGTCTGTGCAAAATTAAAGGAGTATCTGAAGATTTGCAGGTCCATGAATAACTCCAGACTATTAACAATATACAATATACAATATACAATATACAATATACAATATACAATATACATCATACAGTTATGAGTTAAAACATTGACCATTGTTCAATATCATTGCATAATATTATTCATAACAGATAAACGACAAATAATTATTTAGCGCCAAACAGCAATTACTGTCTGAATGCTAATGGACAGTGTATATGTTACAAAATATCATTGTACATTCCCTACATTGTATGTAATGTACATAGCACATTGTGTACTGTACACATTTTCATGATAAAACACTTTGATTACACAGTAATTAACCCAGTCTGATGGTTCTGTAAGAGTACCATAATAGTCACATAGTTTCAAGTAATAGTAATATATAATCATGTATCAAACTGTGCATCGGTCCTTCAATTAAGTGATTTTATTTAAATATTCTAAGGGGATCTTATTGAGTGGTAAATTAGTTTACCTCGTATTCAACATGTTCTGGTACTTCATGTTTCACTTCAGTTCCTCCCATCTGGGCCTCTCGTTTTACGTTCTTCTCTTGCTTCACGTTCTATTTGATTCGTAAGTTAATGAGATAATTGATCGTTAATGAGATAATTGACTGTTAATGAGATAATTGACTGTTAATGAGATAATTGACCGTTAATGAGATAAATGACCGTTAATGAGGTCGAATGTTTTATAGACAACGTCAACATTGACATATTTTATTATCATACAGCGATCGTAATGCTAATCGATAGTTCCACTTCAATTAACTATCCATTTGCTATAATCCCAATCGTAAACTTCGAAAAAAACTGGAATTTAAATATAAACATTTTTATCATACAGATGTGAGATTGATTTATCATAATTATGTATTATTTTAGCTGATGAAAAACAAATTGTGACCTGGTTTTTAGATTTAAAGTAGTCGTTTCTACTCATAATAAGCAGGTTATCAGATTCTGGGGTGAACTTCAGTTCTTTAGTGGCAACCATTTTATCAGCATCAGCCTGCTCCACAAATTCTATAAACACCGAACTGAAAAGAATTGATTTTAGTCGACATTTTAGTTGAATTCTTAGTTAACAATGAGGTTTATGAGCTGCAGCCTGCCAAGTATAAATTATTATACTTTTAATGGTAAAATACTTGAAATGAAATGAAATATAATTGTTTACCCCTTGAACTCAGAATCAGCGTTCTTCCTCAGTTTAACATAGCTCATTTTTCCGAACTGCGAGAACAACTCTTCTGCCTTGTCGATGGTTAGATCGAGTGGCAGTCCTTTCACGTAGACTGTCTTCAGGTTGTTGGCTAGTTTCAACTCATCTGACAGTTTATGTGTCAGTAAAAAGGGAGATCGGGTCTCAATAAGAGAACGGGTCTCAATAAGAGGACTGCATCATACCTTGGCAGCCGGTAATTTTCATATGGCCCGGAGTCAGCTGACCCTAGGAGTAGGGACCAGAGAATCATCAACAAATATATCATTAGATGATTTAACTTTAAAATAAACAAAACTGAAAGTAGAAACCAACAAAACTGAGACTACCTGTGTTTTTAGGAAGAGGTTTGTCCGGGTTCCGTCTGACTTTATTCTTGTCTTCGTTGATAACAAGCAACTCACTGCCACTATCTTCAATAGCTTTAGCTATTTTGGGCTTATCAGAACAAATACTAGCCAGCCTACAGGAGAGTTGTTGAAAATTTAGAAACTTAACTTCTAAGTTCAAGGCCTACTATTTTTACGACTAAAATATTACATAATATTCTCTCTCCTTTATTAAACGGAACTTGAAGCAAAACAACTGTGCACTAAACTTGTGATAGCACAATTATAAAGGAATTGGCATATCAAAATTAAATACTTAAATTAACTAATTTTAATTCTAAGCTCTAACTACCAAACAGCCTAATTGAACAATTTATCAAACAAAATATCGAAGTGATTTTCCTAATGATAACGGAAAATGAGGCAAGAAAATTTGGTAAGTCATTTTTTGGCACGTGATTTTAGAGTAATTTTAGAGTATAACAGTTTGAAATGATTTAAAAAAGATTTTACCTCTTGAAGTTGAGCATAGTGTCGAGAGGTATCCAGCCGTTATCAAGAGTAACTTCTCTTAACATGAATCTGTCTTGCGGTAGATTCCTGTCTCCAAAATAATACTCCAGCTGTTTGACTACTTTTGCTGCAACATCTGCGGCATGTTTCAAAGTCAAAACACTTACAATGTTTAGAGACTAAATGAAAAAGGTCGCTTAGAAAGTTAGAACGACTGCACAATCTATTGGGTGAATATCAATTCTATAGCCCATTGGTGTAGTTTTGCTCATTGAAGAGGTAATCCTTTATACTTCAGTTTAGTCTGAAAAATAAGTCCGAACGAAGTTAAGGTAAATTTCAGATTGTTTGATTTGAAGCTTTCCATAACCAGGATGTGAATATAAAACGACTAAAAAACTGAGAGTGCTATCCTATCGTGGGCCTTCTAAAACATACGTGATTCGACCACTACATTGTCCGTAGTGATAGGTTCCAGCTCTTCCTTCTTTACTTCTCCAGCATTTTTGCTCTCTGTGTCGGCTTCAGTCTTCACCGGGGTCTCGGCTTCAGTCTTTAGGGTGTTGGGGACATCATTTTCTGTTGCTGCAGTCATAACGGCTAAGAGGAAAGTTTGCTTTTTACTTGCTCGATATTAAATAAACATACTCATTTTTAGACTATATTTTATAGAATTTATTTATAAATAAATTCTAACATTTATTACACGCTTGGACATTAAAATATATACCCAACGAAGATGTACATTTCATTCAAGCGAGACTTAGTATGGAAATATCAAGATAATGCACTTCTATAACAGTTCTCAATTTATGGACAAACGTTAGTATGAAAATATCAAAATTATGCAATTCTATTATATCGGTTCAGACATTATGGGCGAATATTAGGAATATCATCAAAAGCTAGGTGGAAATAAAATGTTTAGGGCATTTAAAAAACATTCTACAGTAGATAACGCTCTCACTAAGTGTAGTTCATTCTAAAGTTAGTAAATAAAGTGAATTCTGCCCCTGAACTTTCAGTGCAACATACATACTATTCACAAAAAGGTTACATCCTTTACTAGAAAGATATCTGGCTGCCGTGTTCTCCAGTACTGGGACAGGCTGAAGAAGCTTAAGTTGATGTCCCTTCAGAGGCGGAGAGAGCGTTATTCTATTATTCATGTATGGAAAATTCTTAATGACGTGCTCTAAACGATACGGGTTTCGAGTTCAAGTCACATCAAAGGGATGGTATTAAGGCAGAGATCCCAGCCATGAACAAAAACGCACAGTTGTCGGTAAGAACAGATTACGACAACAGCTTTAGAGTTAGAGCAGCTCAGCTCTTCAACGTGCTCCCATCGGAGCTCCGGAGTATCACATTGCTAGACAGTTTCAAAGCTGGTCTAGGCAGATTTATGGAACAGTACCCAGACACACCACCGGTTCCGGGCTACACTCCGACAAACGATAACTCAATGCTGAGCTGGAGGAGGACGCACTCGATGCAGTTGTCCTGAGCACGCCCTGCCAAACTCACCAAAACGTACCAAAACGTACGTACTAAATCTTCATTTACTGTGCTGTGATGAAGTTTCAACATTTGTAGACTAGAGTTAGAAAAGGAGATCTTATAACAGATCCGAGTTCAGCGTCGATATAAGAACAATATACAACAATCAACATAAGCCAACACAACAATCAACATAAAAGTGGGGTCTTTCCTGATCCCACTTGGCAAATCCGAAACAAAAGTTATGAAATTTAAATAAGAATTCATGCACCAAACATGTTATGATAAAATTAGGGAATATCATAACCTTTCATAACTTAGATCTGAGCGGTGATTAATAAACAATGTGCATCTGTACGTTTAATGTTTTGAAATAAACAATATGATAAAATATAACACAATAAAAATAAAAAGTTACGTTTTACTTTTAATGATAGATTTAAACATATTAAAACTCCTAACAGGATCGTTAACACTCTCCCCGATCCTTGCGGAATACTCCTTAATACACTCCTTCACCACACCATATTGGACGCCGTGTCTCTTTAAAATAGTTTCCACGAAATTATCATGCATGGTAGCGCAGCGCGTGTCATGGAAAGGGCGCTGCACCCAACAAGCACAATACTCTGATATCAGCTGCTCGGAGCGCGTGAAATTGGTTTTGTGTGAGCGCAAGTTGGTTGTAATGCGGGATACATTGTCTGATCTCTGGTGTTGTAAGCCTAACAAAGGTCCACGTATCTGTCGGAGGGGAACTCCAAAGCGTCTCATATTGGGGGCAATTGAGGGATCTTGTTGGACCTGGAAAATAAGTAGGGGTTACTAGACCCAGTAGTTACCAGAACCAGTAATTACCAGAAATAGAACCAGTAGTTACCAGAACCAGTAATTACCAGAACCAGTAATTACCAGAACCAGTAGTGAGTACGAGTTGGTTACCTGATCCTAGATAACATGTTCATTGTTCATCATTTGCAAAATAACAAACAATTAATTATCTAAATCCTATTACTAACCTTAAAACTCCTTGTCAGGTTGACAAGAGGCACAGTGAACTGTCCTCTGGGAGCACTCATCAGTGGCAACTTATTTTTAGGTTTCTCAATTCTGTTAGACAGTGTTCTGCCTGTTTAGAAAAGAGTTTAGTTTGAGAAAATGGGTCAAAGAACGACAGAATACCCAGAGCCCTTTTAATGATACTAAAACTGGTGGGGATGAAACAAATTATTTTGGACGTGGCAAAATCGGTACAAAACCCCTGTTAGTTCCAAAACTATTTGTTACCCATTTTATCGACATTTTCAGTTAATAAAATAAATAAATGTACCTTGATAGAAGGGTCGGGCAGTCTTATTGAACACCTCCGGAAGCCCAGTATTTTTACAGGCATCTTTATAGTCCATCTTACTGCTCATTTTACTGAGATGATGCAATGCTGTTCCGGACATACGAAACTTTGATTTCCGGAAATAAAGAACTCTTTTAACGTCGCCAGAGTCCGTGATGATCTCATGGAAGAGGGATAATTGGGAGGGAGGGAGCGAGGGGTCTCGGTCTGCGTCAAGTGGGTCTTCTTCTTCCAGCTAAAAAGATAAACTTTACAGGTTGCGACAGAAAATTTGTGACTCTGCATTATCATACGTTCGCTAATTTGAGGAATATATCAAATCAAATAATAACGATGTTTATTGTTTTCGAATGAACGTTACTTTTCGCAGTTTACAATAACGGTTTTGTCATAAAGGATTTAGTTCCACAGTACGAAACATTGCCAATTATAATTTAAAATATTAATAACAAACCTCATCCGGAGAATCAATATCTTCAACATAATTCCCGATCATGTCATCATGTCCCAACTCTAATTCTGCTTCTCGTCCCTCCTTTTCCACTACCTGCTCCAGAACATCTCCATCTCCAACCTCTACTTCCGCCTTTGAATGATAAATGTTTAACATTTAGTTTTGAGCGACTGCTCTTTCATAAAAAGTTTTATTTTTGTTCAAAATAGTCACACTTTCTACGGTACACCATGTATTAATGCTTTTCAAACAAAGTTACAACGAATTATTCATGTAGTGCATCCTGGGTTTGGACAAGATATGCCCGTTTAAAATATTTCCATCACGCGACGTTACATTACATATTTCTCAGCCTTTGGACATGATACTGATACAACGCGTGATTAAGTGATTAAATAATTATTACCTGAAGTTCGTCAAACTCTTCGCCATCTATTTCAGGACACGTCTTTGAAGGCAGATCATCTGAATTTATAAATATTTTACCGTCCAAATACTTCAAAGTTCAGACCATTCAGAAAGTTAAGTTTGGGGTTAGTGGATCTTCAAAATTCAATGATAGTGATACATGTAGATTGTAGTGCATCAAAACAAGAAACATTACAGCTGACTGTAATATTACCTTCTAAGTCCATGGGCAGAGGCAAATAATCGTCTCCCACATCCACTCTGCAACTACTTCTTTTAGAGGGGGTACATTGTAGACCAGTTGGTGTTCTGCTAGACTGCCTCTTATCCGGAGTTCTCTGAAATCTGGAACTTGTACTGAGCAAGCTATCTGATGGTTCACGCAGAGTTGGTCTGAGTGTGGTATCTAGTGGCGGAGAGCGATCAGTGTCCTCATCATCATCAGACGGTGTGTTGGGGATGGAGGGTGGTGAGGGGGCTGGAGGGGGGAAATCATCATCTGCACTCAAGTAGTCCGACGAGGAGGGGCTGTTGTTGTGCGAAACTCTGGTTGGTTGGTTTGGTATTATATTGGTGATAATGCTTTCGAACATGTTGCCATCGAGCTTGATATTATGGCTGCTAGGTATGTTATTGAGGAAAGTTAAGTTTGAATTATACCCGTTTGGTTTCAATACAAATATTTTGGCAGGTCCTAACCATAAAATTGATTAGAAATTTATATTAAGTTTAGTTTATTTCACAAAAATCTCCTACCCACCTGAGACCAGAATCTTGATAATATGGAGTATGGCATGTTGGGGAATATGCCTTATCGCGAGTAGGACGTGAGGGAGAATATCTCGTATCCGCATTGTCAATATCCGTATCTTCCTGATCGTACTGGACAGTGTGTGTTGGGGAATACTGAGAATTCTCTAGCTGATCCCCGATAGACTCCATCTTAGTGATGGCGACTGAGAGGGGAGGCGGTGGAGGAGGAGGAGGAGGGATACCGGCCTCGTCCTGAAGGGATTATTTAGAGTTTGAAATAATAAATTGAAGTTTAAGAACACCACTATTAAGATAAACTTCTACTCAGCAGTGTTTAATCTAGTCATCCAAGAAACTATCATGATAAAAGTTAGGACTGCTTGAAAATAATATATGGTTCATACGAGCGAAACTTTTTAAAGAAAAAAGGATACACTCCTGATAATAATAAACTTTCTCTGGTCTAAAATTAAGGAAAAGTAATGAACTTAAACGAACTACGTTTGGAAGACAATTTCTTCGTTTCACAGCGCTTATATAGCTCGTGGTTGCTGATCATTTCAGTAGGCCAGTATATATGTTTCAAGCTTTTCCGTTAAGTAAAAACTCCTTACCGGATAAAAGAGAGGTGGCAACTCTAAACTTGATTCCGAGGGAAAGTTGTAATCTTCAACAACAGTGCTGTTATAATCCCAGGCATCTCGACCTTTAGGGACAAGTCAACAAATTATAATAACGTAATCATGGTCAATAACATACTATTCAGGTAATATATTGTAGACTTGACAATTTTTGACAAGTTATTGCGATTCAAGTAATTGACTGCCTCCTGCTAAACCAAGTGCAAAAACTTAAAACAAACTTAATTCATCACCATCCACCATGCCCCGCCCCGAGTCTAAAAAAAATAAGTTTTCCGTTTTACCTATTGTTATATCATTGAAATAGGATGTTAGCTGTGCCGGATTTAATGTTCCTGTGATATCAAGGAAAGCTTTGTCTAATTTCTCTCCGAGAATGTCGAACCGCTCAGGAACGTATGCAGGGGTGATTTTATCGAAAGAACTTTGGTCTGTGATCCAGGTTTTTGCATATTGTCCATCGTCCAATTTGACCTTCCAACTGCACAGAGTTCGGATGAATTAGAATAAATCAATGATAAACGGGCACCATTGGTAGGTTACATAATAAATTTTGTTTTAAGGAAAATAATGAATTAATTAACCGTCATGATAATTATAATAATAAATATATTATAATAGTTGCTTTTATGCTTTTTTATAGTTGCTGTTTATAGTACTCTATATAATGGTTATTCCGTAAATGGATATATGTGCATGAGGGTACAATGCAAATCAACAAATACAAACTGATACATAGCAGTTTTATCGACAAAAAGTAACTCGAGTCATAACCATAAAAACTCCGAGACTTTTCGTCACAATTACATGAATGCGTAAATGCTAAAGAAAATCGTAATCTTTTTCTCTCTTACGAGTGGGTCGATCATATAATTTGATTGTTGGGGATGAAGTGAGAGTCTCCACTCAGTGTTTAAAACAAATAGTTGTCGACGTTTCGGCACAAGCCTTCGTCATGGACGAGACGTTACAATAATTTCTTAGTTCTTACATAGCTGCAATTTACAATTTTAAAATTACTATCAATACCGTGAAATAATTTACAAAAATCTATACAATTACAAAATTCAACAAACAATATAATAACGTGAAATGATTTTATTACAGAAAATCTATAAAATTCAAAAATAACTAGCAATAATACCATGAAATAACGATTACAAATTTTTTGTTTCAAATTATTTTTTTCAAATTATAAAAGAAACAAAAGTAGAGCTGAAGAGATCAGTTATTTAAGAATATTCAAACGTAACAAAGTATGAACAATATGATGAAATATGAACTTAACTACAAAAGTTTACCACAATTACTCCTTAATCAAATTAAGTGTACAAATTTTAATAACTAGGTTAACTACAAAATTATTACATTAATTTCCAAGTGTATTTTATCCGATCTCCCTCATTTATGGACTCAGATAACTGTGTGTTTATTTCTGGATTTACAAGTTTAATAAGTACGAACTGCTACAATTGACGGTCCACATAATCTTTACATCTTTTGCGTACTATAAATTGAAACGGTATATATGGGATTGGAATACGCGAATGTTTTCCAATGGCCGTTGATTTGTTGTCACTCCAACCCCAAATATACCGTTTCAAGATTGTATCCGATAATCTAGATTTAAAAACGTCATGAATTCTGATTATGTAAGCAAAAGAATGTTAGGAATGGACTTACCCGTGAAGGAAAATATCGATAGTAGCTCTGGGTATGAGATGATGTTTAGATTTCACTGCACACATGCTCGGCTTCTTAGGTGGAGGAGGAGGTGGCACGTCAGTTCCCTGAGAAAGAAGACGTGCAGTCGGTACAAAATATAAGGGATTATCAGGCAATCCCAGGAAATCCCAAAACCTACTTTTGTCATTGAAAGTACTCTGTTAGAGCCCACAACCCATGGGATCTGTTGAACAGCATTCAATTTGGGGGGGGGGGGGGGGGGGGGGAGGAACTTTATAAAGTGTAGTTTCCTTGGGCCGGTAATTAGAGGTTACCTCATTGTGAGTGCTGGGTAATTACAATGAGATAATTAGAGGTAATTAGAGGTAATTAGAGGTTCCACATACCTCATTGTGAGTGCTGGGTCCATCTCTAGCTCTTTTCCTCTCGTAGACCTGATAGACCATGTTATACCGTACAATCACATCGTTTTTATTTCAGGACTCACTTCTGTATTCGTAGGGTCATGAATGCTGAGTGGTGTATTGAGACTGAGGAGACTGAAAATTCTATTTTATTTGTTGATGCAAATATCAAAATTCTTTAACATGACAGTACGGTTCAAATTAAATGGATTATAATTTGATGAACCGAAATGAAATGCAGCTTATAATTCGTGACCACTTAATCAAAAGTTACAAAAATCTAAAGCACACTTCACAGTTTTGGAACAAAATTAGGTAAGAAAGTCATTTAAAACAACGTAAAAAACGCCCTAAAAATGTTCAACAGAACAGAGTACAGTAATATTTGATATTCAGACAACTATCAAATTGGAACGATTTATAGGGTTATTTATACACCTAATACCTAGCATCTCCTTTACCAGAGTATTAGCTGTGAACTTAAGTTATCGAACTATTAATCGATCATTACCTAAGAATCATAGTTCAAACAGAATTGGAATCAGTTAATTTCTCAATCTCATGTCTTTTGTCAATTGCCCTATTTTTAACCCAGGCCCATCATGTAAGGATTTTTAGTACATCGCAACTCATCATTATATACCTTATCGGACTGTATTTGAACGGACATTAAATAAAGGTAGCTAAATCAAAGACATTAAATAAATGCCTTCGAGCGTTCATTTTAATCTCCGTTCAAAATTATGTCCGTTCACGCAATGTCCGGTCAAATAACGTCCGATAAACTGACAAAAAACTTGATTATAATTTAACTAAAGGAGGCGACTAAACAAAAGCTGCTAATTATGTCCACGCTTTTCAAACAAAGAGGATGTATTACAAGCTGTCCATGAAGTGTGGCTGTCCTTCTTTTCTAGCAGTGAGGATGTCTACTCCGGTTTCTGTGACTAAGAGCGTGTGTTCAAACTGTGACGACCTCTTTCCGTCCTGTGGTTCAAGAAGAAATTATTATTATATCGGGTCTCGATCGCCTAGGCATCAAACCTTGGCAATCGGTAATTTTCCTCTGGCCCGGAGTCAGCTGACCCTAGGGACCAAAGGATAAAGGCGTAGAGACTATGTGTATCTACAAAAGTGGTTGTTTTTACAAGAGACAGGGCTTGCAACGCAAGGGAAGAAAAACGGGAGAAACAATCACAAAGTACATATTATATGACCTAGCAAATAGAAATTCAAACAATCCTACACCACAATAAATGTTTATTACATAATAATAATTATTATTATTGTATTGCTGTGTAAATTTGATTATAATTCTACTAAAATTGACAACTCTAAAATACACATCAGATATACTCAGGAGTATCAGTAATCAGGAGTACTCACAGCGGTGACGGCGGTCCAATCATCAGGCCAGAGGTTATCCCTCCACACTCCTTCGTTAATCATGGGTTCTATAGTAAAACAGTGGCCAGGCTTCATTATACCTATAGCTTTGTTCTCTGAGATAAAATAGTCGGGTTAGTTTATCACAAGAAACCAAACCAAATTTCCAACCGATTCAGATCATAGTTCATACGGTCTTTGAAGGATGCACACAAAAATGTACGCGAAATTAAACAAACAAGAATTTCGCCGCGGTAACACCACGCACGATCAAATTTCCCTACTGCCTACAATGTAATTGTTCTACTTTATTGTATCCCAGAGTGGTGTTTGGCGCACGTGATAATCGTTTATATTATATTAGGCGTGCAGAACTTGTAAAATTCTGCGCGCATCTGAAGTGTCGCCGTCGATCTGTATGTGGTTTGGTTGTAGATCATTTCATTTTTGCGCGGTTTTGTTTCGTGTTAACGATGCGTATCATGTCACGTCATATTATTGCATCGTATGCCAACTTTATTGACTGTAATCAACTATTCTGTTTTATGCTTACATCTACAGCACCATCAACTATCGACTATCGAGCCTTTGATTTTATATAGGATTCTTTAAAAGCATACCGCAATCTTGATCTTAGTTGCTCCTTGAATGTAAATGTAAAGTAACATCTTTTGTCAACTATGTTTTCGCTTTTTACCATTAAGTGTCGATCAACTGTTAAGTAATCAGCAACGAGTTTATCAGCTGATATCATAATTTAATTTGTTTCGACTTGCTGAATTTTATCACTCGGTAATTTATTAAGCTTGTTTCACCAAAATAACACTTACATTGATGATTGATCCGCTCTGATGACTAATATGCTATATTAATGAATAAGAGTGAATTGTAACCCGATGGAAACCTGTGTAACAGTCGTCAAGCACCAAAAACTGGTTGCTATGCCTGTAATTAATTAACACATAACAGGCGTCGCGCGCGCAAAATAGACTCCTTTTATACACATAATTATAGGAGAGTGGTCTATATTGCGAAGGAGCAGACTTTTGTCATCATCGTAGGACCGTCGGGCCACCTCATATATCCAAACCCGATTACTTATTCCCTACGATCTTTTTGCCTTCGGCAAGAGCAGGGAAAAAAATTGAGTTAGAGAGATCTGAAATTTTACAGGGCGTCTAGACGTTCACTAAATCGACAGCAAAAAAAAGTATCAAGTTTCAGGAGCATCGTGAAGTGGGTTTTCCAGAACCCCTGGCCCTATTTTACCACAGATTGTCGTGATATATACATATGCATATATTCAGGGATAGACGCTTTGCCAGTCAAATGTAGTCAATTCTTCAATTGTAGCCTGAATTTAAGTGTCCGTAGCTTCAAAAGTATAAAAGATACAGCCATTTCCGACCACAGGTCTTAAAGATAATTGTTTACGCTTAAGTTCAAATTATATTTTAAAAAATGACGTCATTATCACCACTTAATGACGTCAACAAGTTAACCGTTTTTAAAACTATATTTTTGACTAAGTAACATTTTTTCAAATCGATTTTACACCATTATAGTACAGACAGATCCGTCTGAAAAAATCGATCTGCTGACACACGAAGCTTTCGGAGGATTTTTGACGTTTTTGAGTCCCATTAGGTGCCCTTTATGGCTGACCAACTTTTCCAAACTTTTCCACGTGTCTTAAGGCCACTTTTTGCCACTTTACCACTTTTTACCACCTTTCTTGTTTGTCGAATATCTTTAGTTGTGAACATCGTAAAAGGTTGCGAATCAATCGAGTGTGTTCATATTATCAGGAAGAAAAACTTTTGTTGAAACAATTTTTACGTCAGATAATAAGTTAATTGGATAATTATCGATTAACTAATTAGCAAAATTCTAAAAAATTTTATTGGCTAAAAATGATCGGAATAGCTTAAAACACGGAGAAAAGTAGTTTTTAGAAAAAAATTTGAAAATTGTTCACTTACATTTTTTTTCGAGACTTGGAAACATTTCGAAAATTCAAAATATTTTTTTCCGCCAAAAGTGATCAAATTGCATGAAAAGCGGAGAAAAATGATTTTCAAAAAAAACTTAGTCAATTTTTCGTTTCAAGAATACTTAAATCACCAATATTTGTAGTTGGAGTTCAGTAAATCTCGGCAGATTTTAGTAATAATCAGGAATTACTAACTCTAAGTGGAAAGGTCTGAAACTGAAAAACGTTAAGTTTAACCATACGATCGCGATATAAGAGTTTCATAACTAATTACAATACAGCCTTATCGATTTTCACAGAAACTGCACCAATGGCACAGTCGAGATCGAAACGATAGCCTGCTGTACTGTCATTTCATTGATTTCAATGATGAATCAGTGGGGTTAAGATAATCACATTTGTAATAAATAAGACATCTCTGTACCGTCAATAATTGTGCTAATCTAAACCGGCTTACCTGTATTACCAGACCTCTTCTTTTCCTCAACAATCAAACCAAGTTGTTCATATCGCATTTGGTGGGCGATGTAAGTAGTAATACATATCGAGCTATATTCAATCACAATACGACACAGTACGTGTATATTATATGGCTCTGAATGAGGTTTATGAAACGCTTTATACCGTGAGAAACTCGGTATAGAGAGGTTTTACAGTTTATCACGAAAATGTCTACTTGGTCTCATGGCTCATCAGTGGCGTAACGTTGCCTGTTGGCGCCCCCCTGCCGAAAAAAGCGCCCCCCTGTTGGCGCCCCCTCCCCTTTTGGTGCCCCTCCCTAAAATTGAACAAATTAGGTGATTTTAGAGAATACGCCGGTAAAATCTCTAAAAAAGTGTGTATCTAGAGCAAAACGCGCAGTTTTGCTAGTACTTTAGTTAAGTTTTCGAAATTGTCCCACATTCAAACGACGATCTGGCGCCCCCCTAAGACGGCGCCCCCCTGCACAGCGGGGTCAGCAGGGCCTTTCGTTACGCCACTGTGGCTCATTTACAGTTCGAAGAAGGGCAAGAACAGATCAGGGAAACTGAGGAACAGCCAGGTCCAGGAAGCAAGTGTAAATACACCTTCCAACATCTACTGTGACTGTTTTGTATTGTACTGTATACCGCTTCATTTGCGGGATACCTCAAATCACCCTCATATGTCAGGGTCGGCTAAAAGTAAAATCAACAAGGGTAACATACGGGAAAGGGTAAGATTTAGATACGAGTACAGTGTCGGGCAAGGGGTAGTAAAGAACCGGTAATAATTAATTCAGTGAAATGTTCCACGAGAGTCAGGATATTTTGGAAATTGCTAATAGAGACAGATCCTGATCAGGAAGGATTGTTAATGTTATTGAGGATGTTGATTTGAAATCCGGACGTCGTGAAGTAAAAATACAGGTTCTTCCCGCAGGATATTCGGGGCCCATGATGATCAGCTCGGGATTAATGTAGGACAGATCGAAGACTAATAACTGAACCCAATTGAACCTAGTTCCCACTAACCAATCAGCTTAATTGGTTAGGGTTAGGGTTAGGGTTAGAGTTAGGGTTAAATGTCTAAATTGGGTTCAGTTGTCCGGTAGCCCGCTCTTGCGAGTTGACATTCTAAGCTTTCTGGTCTTTTCTTGCCTTCTTTGAGCTGTCAAAGAGCCATGAGACCAAGTAGACGTTTTCGTGATAAACTGTAAAACCTCTCCATATCGGGCCTCTCACGGGAGAAACGAGAAGTGCACGGTATAGAACGTTTCATATACCTCATTAAGGGCCATAATATAATATACACGTACTGTGTCGTATTGTGATTGAATATAGCTCGATATGTATTACTACTTACATCGCCCACCAAATGCGATATGAACAACTTGGTTTGATTGTTGAGGAAAAGAAGAGGTCTGGTAATACAGGTAAGCCGGTTTAGATTAGCACAATTATTGACGGTACAGAGATGTCTTATTTATTACAAATGTGATTATCTTAACCCCACTGATTCATCATTGAAATCAATGAAATGACAGTACAGCAGGCTATCGTTTCGATCTCGACTGTGCCATTGGTGCAGTTTCTGTGAAAATCGATAAGGCTGTATTGTAATTAGTTATGAAACTCTTATATCGCGATCGTATGGTTAAACTTAACGTTTTTCAGTTTCAGACCTTTCCACTTAGAGTTAGTAATTCCTGATTATTACTAAAATCTGCCGAGATTTACTGAACTCCAACTACAAATATTGGTGATTTAAGTATTCTTGAAACGAAAAATTGACTAAGTTTTTTTTGAAAATCATTTTTCTCCGCTTTTCATGCAATTTGATCACTTTTGGCGGAAAAAAATATTTTGAATTTTCGAAATGTTTCCAAGTCTCGAAAAAAAATGTAAGTGAACAATTTTCAAATTTTTTTCTAAAAACTACTTTTCTCCGTGTTTTAAGCTATTCCGATCATTTTTAGCCAATAAAATTTTTTAGAATTTTGCTAATTAGTTAATCGATAATTATCCAATTAACTTATTATCTGACGTAAAAATTGTTTCAACAAAAGTTTTTCTTCCTGATAATATGAACACACTCGATTGATTCGCAACCTTTTACGATGTTCACAACTAAAGATATTCGACAAACAAGAAAGGTGGTAAAAAGTGGTAAAGTGGCAAAAAGTGGCCTTAAGACACGTGGAAAAGTTTGGAAAAGTTGGTCAGCCATAAAGGGCACCTAATGGAACTCAAAAACGTCAAAAATCCTCTGAAAGCTTCGTGTGTCAGCAGATCGATTTTTTCAGACGGATCTGTCTGTACTATTAAGGAGTAATTTTATTCAAAATTTGAGGCCTTGTTGAAGTAAGATAATTGTTCAAGCATTCTGAAAATTTACCGAAAATAGTCCCTAGCTTGCTCCTTCATAAAGATATTTGCCATTGAAGTTAGTGCTTTTTTAAATAATCATTTTATAAAAACGTCAATTTTGCGATTTAGTATTCTCTGGTGTTGAGCCATCTCTTGAATTGTTGAGCTCAGTTCTGCTTACTATAGGTCTATATTGTGCATTACTCATGAGGCTAGTTTTAAAGTTGAAAATTTAAAAGTTGCACACGTGGGAACACGCCCAAATTGATTATTGATATAAAATTGCTATAAAATCACTGAAAATTGCTATTTTAACGATTTTTATCACCTTTGGAGTCCCGTTGTGGTTTAAGTCATTTTTAAAATCGTTTGAAACTTTGCATGCTTATTAAAATATATAAGAAGTACACACATAATAAAAATCACGGCGATTCAACATTGTATGCGCACGTAACGCGAACGTCTGCTCAAAGTTTGCACGTGCGAAAGGTGAGAAGTTTGCTCATTCTTGATTTCGATTAGATTCTGCTTTCCCACGTTAGCATTATATATGAATTAAATGTTAACTTGAATGAGTATAAAGTGGTATATTCAGTCAGTGATCGACAGATTTGCTTACCTAAACACAAGGAAATATTTTCAAAGGTTAAATTTCGAAATCGTTGAAAATTCCTCCTTATTAATGAAGTTATCAGTTTAACATTTCGACTTTGTCAAGGACCCTGAAATTAATCAAAAAGAGATGATATTTGACCAAAACCCTTAATTGGGTAGAGTGGACACTGGACCGCTGCCAGTGTCTCTCTTTCCCAAACAAAAGGAAATGATAATATTTATATTAGTTTGAAAGACGATCAGTAAATGCAAAATGATACCGAGAATGAAATCGGTTGCTCGCTTTTCCCATTGATTAATGATTAACAATTATTGTAATATTATGTATATTAGGGGGAACTACCCGAAGGCAGCTGCATTCGGCAATAACGAATCAATAAACATCAGCTAATTTAAGGTCTATGAGGCCCAAGTAGTATCTATCCTCATGTATAACTCTAGTTGCTGGGGAATGCCTAAATCGTACTGGGACAAACTAGATGCATGTCACCGTAACCACCTCAGAAAGATCATGAATGTCAGCTGGCCACGCAGTATGATGTCCAAAGATACCCTATACAAACAGAGTAACTCTACCCCTATGTCTGAGCGTGCTGAGTTATCTAGGTGGAAGATGCTAGGACACATACTGAGGAGCGATGAAAGATCACCAGCTCAAGCTGCGCTGTGCTTTGCTGTCGAGATGTGTAGTGAAGTTGGTAGACTCGGGGCTCACAGACGTAACCTCCTACACCACCTGAAGGTTGACCTCTGGAAGCGTTTCATCTTGCTGGAGTCGTATGATGATATTCTTCATTTGAGAGAACTTGCTAGTAACCGTGGTTATTGGAGTAAATTGTTCGACTTTATACTTGAGTACAAGTCAATTTGACTTTTGGGACATATAATCTTACAAAGGATCACGTTTAGGTTCTAAATTATTTTAGGATTGTTGACATTTGTAAGATTGACATGTTTGATAATTGATAATAATTTAATTGGACACTAACTACCACCCTTATCCCGAAATATTAGGTATCGACCCGAAAGCAACCCAGAGACATTTGTACAGCATCTGATTGATGTAATTAATCGAAACTTATTACAATTCGTAAGCTGTAAATGAATGGGAAAAGCGAGCGACCGATTTCATTCTCGGTATCATTTTGCATTTACGGACGGTCTTTCAACCTAATATCATTTCCTTTTGTTTGGGAAAGAGAGACACTGGCAGCGGTCCACTCTACCCTATTATGGGTTTTGGTCAAATTATAAAATACGAAACAATTGGAGTAAGATTAACTAGCGTTCTTACTAACTGGTAACTAAGTTCTAGTTACTAATTGTTCACTAAGTTACTAACTAGCGTAATGGGGAACACTGGGAGCAGTATGGAAAAGCTGGTTGATACCATGACCACAGTAACTCCTGACCACACTAAAGCCACAACTGTTGATATACTTCTGTATAACCCCTCCTATATCCCTGTACTTTGCGCCTGGTTTAACTGAAACATATATAATAGTTAGCAACATAGAAAACTTTGACATCTAATTAGAATATTTTAAGAAAGGTACTGCGGCATATTTATACCTAAGCCACGAAAATTTGTCTTACAAATTTCGAGTTTTAGCAATTTCGAGCTTTTAGCGGTCAGCCATTTTTGGAGAAATGCTCACTCGAATAATTAGTTACCTTGTTTAATAGTTCTACTGAGAAATTAGTTACCTTGTTCAATAGTTCTACTGAGAAGTTAGTTACCTTGTTCAATAGCTCTACTGAGAAGTTAGTTACCTTGTTCAATAGCTCTACTGAGAAGTTAGTTACCTTGTTCAATAGTTCTACTGAGAAATTAGTTACCTTGTTCAATAGCTCTACTGAGAAATTAGTTACCTTGTTCAATAGCTCTACTGAGAAATTAGTTACCTTGTTCAATAGTTCTACTGAGAAGTTAGTTACCTTGTTCAATAGCTCTACTGAGAAGTTAGTTACCTTGTTCAATAGTTCTACTGAGAAGTTAGTTACCTTGTTCAATAGTTCTACTGAGAAGTTAGTTACCTTGTTCAATAGTTCTACTGAGAAGTTAGTTACCTTGTTCAATAGTTCTACTGAGAATTTAGTTACCTTGTTCAATTGCTCTACTGAGAAGTTAGTTACCTTGTTCAATAGCTTTACTGAGAAGTTAGTTACCTTGTTCAATAGCTCTACTAAGACTCTCGTAGCTCGCCTCAACAAGTTTCCTTCCAGCCTCATCCACATTTCCAACCAGGAATGTTTCGTTTAAGTCACCATGAAAACCATTCTGTAAAAACATCAGCTTATAATCACTGAAATACCAGTCATGATACCAGTCATGAAACCAGTCATGATGTCAGTCATGATATCAGTATCATGATATCAGTCATGATATTCTAGGTTAACACAGAATTGAAATTTTCAACAGTCAGAACTGAATCGTAGGCCCGGATGTAACTAACCTTACAAACAGTGTTATCATTATTGAGAATGTTACTTACTTTATAAACAGTGATATCAATGTTGAGAATGTCCCCATCTTCTAAAGGTCTTGTATCAGGTATACCATGACAAATCACCTCATTTACGGACCTAAAAATAAGTAGAGGTTAATAGTTGCCCACCCAAATTTTGTTACCAATGTCGAAAGCGCTATTGTGTTTACCAATATATCCTCAACTTCAAATGAACATGTCCATAAAGTAATTTAAATCATCTCATTACGTATTTCGTGAATTACAATACTAAATTTTGCCAAGTAATTGATTTTTAGTCATGCACAGCTATGTTAAACTTGTATAGTAATATTATTTATTAACTATATCTGTGACAGGTACTATTGCTTTAAAAACAATCTAATTCTAAAGCATGCTGAAATTCGAAAAAGAGAGAGGCATTGATAAATGTATAATAATTATTAATAATATGTATTTGGTTTGTTAATTATTGGGCACTATAATTAAAAGCATTAATACGTACGTACAACAAGATTTAGGAAATCCTCTGTAGTTCAGTGGCGAGGGGTAACATTCTCTTTCCACGCATGCTTCAAATACCTGGGTATTCTCAAGATGCGTAATCTATTACGATTCTAATTGTCAAGTGAATTAAACAATGTAATAAGTGAAATTGTAAGTATAAGTGAAGTGTATTCAGATTTCAGTTTTAAATATACTCTTAAAAGTAAAATTTATAACTCAATAACTCTCAATATAATAGTCAAACTTACAGCATCGTCGATTTCTTGACATGTGACCCCAACACGAACCATCTTAGCAGCAACGTCCAGCACTTCTCTCCCCAGCTGAAATATTTAATAGTCAATATGAAGTCAAATTGTAGTGTACACTTTGCAATATTTACAAGTATGATAGGTCCAATCGAACCAACGTCCGACAGCTACCACTCTTGCAAAAAAGTCCCAATTTGGGTCCCCCGGGATGTTAATTTTAATAGAGCTACATGTTAATTTTTTTTCAAAGCTTTGGTCACGTAGCGCCATGCAGCCTTGCGGGTTTTAACTGTATTTTTGTGGCTTAAAATTTGTCTCCTTGGTAGACTCAGAAACCGTGATTGTGGGTTAAACGAGCCAAAAGATCAAGAATCTTACTAGAGTACCCACTCGTAGTGTACTGTAAACATAGTACTATACTATATTATATTGACAGTTTCATGAAGAGAATTACAACGGAAACTTCTCCATCACAACAACCAATCTACAAAGGTAACATACTTTTCCAGCAAGTCGCATTCCAGCAATCTCCTCTGCGTTCAGCACTCTGATCTGACCTATTCCTCTACTCTCTATTTCTGATACCGGCTTACCATCCTCCGAATAATCTGGTTTTTCTTTACAAGGAAGGTTCACAGTTAGATTTCAGATTATAAATGGAAATTCAATAAAAATGATGATAGAATATTCATAAAATATTTCAACACTTATATAATGTGAAACTTATTTTACTTAGGGACATTCCAGCCAATTATCTTTGGCTGAGCGTCGACGACGCTTACCCCATGGCTGGTGGCTTAGCGGAGTATTGAACCTCCAGAAATGCCAGGGAGATTTACCATCTGAGCCACTCAGCTGTTAGATCTTTAAGGATTTCTAAAATTAAGGTTTAGTAGGTAATTAGGAAAGTACCGATATTCTTGGGCAGGTCAGTTCTGCGGGGGGCTTTTATGTGAGGTCTGAGGGGTCCAGTGTAGGAATAGCCTGGATACAGTGCACCTCCTGTAATATAAATTGAAATGAACCATGGATTGGTTAACTCAGAATCCCCTAAATTTTTAAAGGTAAAGTAGATCAAATTAGCTCATAAGTGTTCCTTTCAATTCTTAAAGTTAAAGATGTACATGAGGGGGGAGGCAAAAGTCAGTGCACATACAGTGGCCTTAATAGCTCAGTCAGTGAGTGCCTGATTGAGTAAATATTTTCTGGTATGACTTGCTATTACCACTCACTTGAAGAATATATCGAATCAAAGAATATTCATGTTCATTTTTTTCGAATGAAGGTTCATTTTCGCATTTATTTGATATCTTTGAATAATTGGATTGAGCTAAAATGTATTGGATCAATGTGTTTGGCCATTCAAATTACATTTGCCCTGAAAAAATGGGAGTTCTAGCTTTTCAGGTGACCAAGATATGAAGCATAACGAGTTTACTCATTACTTGTGATCAGGTGATTGGGTTGATACTAGATCCGCATTATGGGAATCGCAGAGAGCTTAATTACGGTGTCTTAGCAAGATATCACATGATTAGTGATAGGGTAATCATTGATAACCCAATTAATTTTGCTAAAATTTCTTGATAACCTTTACATAAGTTTGTCCCATCTTTGCAGATCATTGCCCCAAAAATCGATATTTCAAATTTTGGCGACGGAATCCTCGAATGAATAGTAACAGTATACCATCTGCAAAGTTACAAGTCTCAAATATGAAACACAGCGGTGGTATAAGACCCAACCTGTGTGCACTGACTTTTGGCCCCCTCTGTAATATTGTAAAATCATGAAAAAAAATCTCACCATTAGTTATAGTTTCTAAAACTGCCTTCTGTTGTTTGTGTTTTAATTTGTGATTACCCCAACTAGTTTTAAAACAAGCCTGAAAACAGAACAATTAATTAATCAGCGAGTTAGTGAGCAAAATCTATTGCCATTTAAATTGGTTTAAACGAAAGAAGCTTGTGGAAAAATACTATAGTTTTAAATCATTCCTTGTTAGGTCAACGTTACCTGATTGCAAAAGTGACTAGCTGGCAATCCAAGTTTTTTACAGGTTGGGCACTGTAAGGTTGCATTTTCCCCACATCCCTCACACTTATCAATCATATCCTTATTCTAGAATACAATATTGAGAAGAATAGTAAAGAGACATAATTAGACAATATTAGACGAAGAGAACGAGAAGGAAAAGAAGGACGAGTACTTGGAGAGAGTGTTGAATATGGAGAAGGCTACTTTCACCCCGGCTGTATTCCTCACATCTGGAGGAATGTCTAAAGAGTGAAAGCAGTTTGTCAACAGAGTAGCAGACCTCATTGCAAGAAAAAGGAAGGAGAGGTACTGTGATGTAGTAAGACATGTAAGAACCAGGATAAGATTTGCAATGTTGAGAACAACTCTGATTGCTCTACGAGGGTACCGAGGAAAGACTGTGGACACCAAACGTGAGATTCATATATATACTCGTGCTGGAGTCTCATTGAATCAAATTTGAATTAAACATAATTATTAAGTCTGAGCGTCTAAGTAAGTAAACAAATAAATGATTGAGTTTTAAGATACAAAATACAATCGTCTCAAAATCTCAAAACGATTAAGTAAACATGAGTTGCGCCCGTTAGACCGGACCATAGGCGGACCATGTGCATCAGTTTAGAGTTCGAATTGTAATCAAATTTACACAGCAATAGTAAATAATTTAGAGATGCTTCGATCAGCTGGGTAGGACATTCAAATCAGTCAAAAATTATGCCCTTCTAAGGACTAAAAATCAAAACATATAGTTTACAGATAATAAGTTAATGAGTATAAAGTATAGTATGATGGTATGGTGGGTTAAAACATTGAAATTTTAGTATCATGAAATTAGTAACCATTAAATTATTACAAAAATTACATTAATACCCACATTGACATTTCATCAGAATTATGTACAATTATACAAAAGTACAAAATTTGGAGAAGTATAGAACCATTTAAAAATAAAATGGTAACAGGTTAACTGTGGTAGTGTTAAGAGTAAAAGAGGCATACTGAATACAGTTCTATACTTCTTTTAATAAAACGTAAATAAAAACTTTGTGAATTACTTGGTTCTAAATATCCAAGACCGTCGACGAGTCCAACTCGGCGCGCGTCTTGGTAAGTTATAAACCTACACATGTTACTCGCCTAAATTTCTTCGAAGTACCCTTATAGGCAAAAGCTACGAAGTAGCACGCGCGCCAGGCTGCGGGCTAGTCCGTTAGCAATGGACAAGTTTGCTGTAACTGTAACAGTTAATATTCAAGGTCTAAAAACTTACGGATAGTAGGGGGTGCACCATAAAAATAAACTTGCTCGGATTTTAAAAATTTTTGTACCATTGTTTTCTAGAGACTGTGAGAATTTTCACAATACCAAATTTGTCATACCTTTTTGGAAAGATCAGTGAGTTTCGCCTAGGTGCCATATTTGATGGTGCGCGGCTTTTGGAGCAAAATTAGCTGTAAAAGTCGCGTAATTTGACCAAATTTGACCAAATTCGTTGATTTTTGTCGTATTATTTGGATATATCTTCAGTTCCTTGAATGAGATCATTCTGAAAATTGGCGACAACCTTCCAATAGGGCTTTCACAACTGTCCGAAAAATTTGGTGGATATCGGAGTTGATATAGTGATCAAAATGGGGCAAAATACGTTGCTTTTAGCTGTAACATAATGTCTGATGGTTAGATATTGGATATGCTTTAAACTTTTCGGACACTTTCCTTGTAAGTCTATGAGTAAGCTTACCAATTTTTGTTGCAATCGGAGGTCTGGAAGGATACTTAATATCTATTTGTTTGAAGAAAATTGTGCTGGCCGAAATTAGCGCTAAAAAACCATCCTACAGTCGGCACGCGCGGCTCACTGTCGATGGCGCACTACCTACGGATAGGTTATTAATGATTAAAATTATTTCATGTGTTCTTGATTTTTAATTTTATGTTTGATTTTATATTTTAATTTATTTAATTGCTATTAGGTCAAAAATATTAAACATTGCAAATTTTCCATTGCATGATCTGATGACCGTATTTTTGGTTGCTCTAAGTTTAACATTTAACCTGCAAAGCCTTCGCGCTTGCAGTAGCAACAAAGTGCGTCAAACATTCGCGTCATGCAGTACGTTGCTCTAACCAGAGCCCTCTCGCTTTCAGTATGCAGTAGCGCGCGACCGCCGAACTTGTGAAACAAGCGCGTCACGCAGTACGAGTATAAACATGGCTATGTGAATGCAGTACGCAAAGATGCATGGTTGTACAATATGCATTTTGTAAAGTGTTTTGGTTCACATAACATTTTACATTTGTAATCTGGGGGGTAATATCTTGTGTATTTCTAACTGGTTTTATTTTATAATAATTTGTTGCCGTCCTTTGTAAAATTTAAAAAATATTTTATTATATATTATTCGATAATGACCGGATATTAGTAATTAGTGCCGATTTAAAATTATTGTGTGAATTGTTCAAATTAATCATCGTAATATTTAATTACTGATATATGCGTTTTATTGAAATGCGGAGCGATATGGCGCTAGCAGTATATATTGCTTTAAGTCACAAACAAAACAGAAAAACTTTTCATTCGCATCGTGTTGGACGTAGACGGCACAAATAATGTCATTATTTTGTATTTGCTTACGTGCGTCCTAAGCCGCGTGCTTGACTCCTTTTTCGTGGCAGTATATGCTTGCTATATCCAGAGCCCTTGCGCTTGCGATCATCTTAAAGCTAGTTGGAGAGCATCTAGACTGTAGTATAGAGGCAGTTTACTTTCCTGATTGATGAGCTTGGTATTCTTTCATACAGCCGTCGACTAGAAATCCTTAATTTGACAACACTGGCTGAGTGGCGAATTTACATGATGATCCCAGGTTATAATGTTCTAAAACATAAAGATTAGTGTCGGCGGAATGACAGGCTAAACGTCACCAGTAATGGTGAATACGTGATATCTTACTGAAGCTTTCAAAGCTTTCAAAGATATATATAATAAGCAGTTTGACGGATTTTGTAGCAGGTCCGGTCTTAATCTGGCATCCGGTCTTAATCTGGTATACTGTTTGAAACATTTTATACTTTTATAGTATTATGTAGTAGAATCATTGAATTGCTGACTTTAAAATAAAAATCTGAATACATTTTATAAAAACCCTTTAAATTATAAAAGTAGCCAATTCAATGTACTGGCTCTAAATTTATATCTAAGTCTGCTATTTTTACTGCACTAATACTTTTCAACCCTCTTTCTCCTTTAAGAGCAATGACTGTTGTTCTCAATAGGTTAAATCTTACTATTTTCCTGACAAAAGTCATCGCCTCACAATATCTTTGACCTGATTTTCTAGACATTTTCTCAGCTAACTTTTTAAAGAAAGTATTAAGTTAAATCAAGTGTGGTTTCTTTAGATAGAGGAGATGATACATGTACAGATAGCTCGACTGAGTCTGCTGAGGTACTTGCAAATGCCTTTAGCTCTGTTTTTGTGCGCGAACCCCCTGGCCCTCTCCCTAAAACTGAGAATTTAGGCCCTGATAATGAGAGTATTGCTGATAATGATGGTATGGAAGTCAGCAGTTCTGATATAAAGAGGCAACTTTAAAGCTTAACATTTCAAGAGTTCTGGTCTGGATGGTGTTCATCCAAAGTTGTCGAAATCGCTAGCTTATGACAACAATTTTGTTGAAGCAATAACTGAATTATTTCAAAGGTGTTCAGATACCGGATCTTTTTACCTGTAGTGTGGAAATCTGCATCTGTTGTAGCATTGTTTAAAAAGGGTATTAAATCCGACCCCTTAAATTATAAACCAGTTTCATTAACTTTCATTTTGTGCAAAGTGTATGAAAAATTGGTGTGAGCACATGTATTAGATTTTCTAGAACATCGAATTTCGAAGCATCAGCATGGATTTGTTAAGGGTAAACCGTGTTTATTTAATCGTTTAGAGACATTTGATGATATTCTTGACATTTTAGATGCAGGTGCCCCGGTTGATCTTTTATACTTGATTTTAGTAAGTCTTACGACGCAGTCCCCACTTTAGACTTTTGTCTAAATTGGAAGGCTTTGGTGTCAAAGGAAAAGTTTTAGATTTTATTACAAATTTTCTGACAGACAGGACCATGAGGGTTTGTGTAGAAGGACAATGGTCTGAGGTTAAACATGTTTTATCTGGTGTGTATGGTCCTGCAGTGGGGTCTCCTTGTCCTTGGATCTGTGTTTTGATCCGTCTTTTCTTAAAATTTTCCATTTGTGTCACTTAGACTCACCTATTAAATGTTAATCGACACCACTGGTCCTAGTTAGATTTAGCCATGGCACGACTACTCGAACGTAACAGTTAAATAGGTGTGACATACTATTATATTCTTATAATTATGTCATATGAATTGATTGCACTGCTAATAAATAAAATACTTTGTTTCCCTTTTTTAAAAAAATACTTTGTTTTACTTCCTCAGGGGTCGGTTCTAGACCCTCTCCTATTCATTCTGTATGTTAATGATTTGCCTGACCTTGTTGAAATAAGATTAAATTATTTGCTAATGATCTTAAATTGATTGATAATGCAGCTAACCAAGATAGTGTTGCTGAAGATATTGAAGAATTATCTAAGTTTTGGAAAGTATTTGGCTTTTAAAATTTAATCCTGCCAAATGCAAAGTAGTGCATCTTAATTCTAAGGTAAATGGTGTAGAACTTGAAGTATCTGTACAGGAAAAAGATTTTTGGGGTTATTACCCATAGCTCCCTGCTTTGGAATGAACAGATATGATCAAAGCATGTATCTCTAAGGCAAATCATATGATTTGTTGGATTGTAAGGAATTTAGTTATTGGAGAAAAAGTTGTTATGATTGCTATTTATAAAGCTTTATTAAGACCTCATCTTGAGTATTGTGTCCAATTGTGGAATCCACCTGCGGTTCATGGAAGTTGGGGGACTGTTTTGGAGCTTGAGAGCATCCAGCGGCAGTTTACCTGTCCGATTTATGCTGTGGGTACTCTTCCTAACAGCCGTAGACTTAATTTGACAACGCTGGCAGACCAGCGAATACATGGGGACGTCATAGAAGCTTTTAAAGTAACTAGTGGTTTGACTGATTATGGATCGGGAAAGTTTAGAATTAGCAGATCCGGTCTTGATCCGGTCTTTATTGTATTGCTGTGTACATTTTATTCTTATTTTATTTATAATTCTAATACTAATAAGATGCATTTTCGGCCAGTAGTTACTCATTCAGAAACAACTTGTACAATTTTTCATGGGTGGGCTATGGTAAAGTACCTAATTTCGTTGGACTAAACTGCCATTATATTGATGATTAGTGCGATTATACAACTGGGGGCTCTGGCTAGACGTCATCAACTATTGCTATCTATTTCACAGATTTTGGGTTTTTGTCATGGTGTGTGAAAAAATGCAAATGGCAAAGTTTTTCGTTATTTTAATTCCAAAAATCCGCATAGTGACGAAAATGGTGATGAAGCACATCACCATGCCTACTCCCTCTAAATTTAAACTTTACGAATTTCTTAAACTTGATTTATTTATGATTTAAACTAAGTTATGTGACTCATAGATGACTGAAATTTGGCTGAACAATCGATAGACAAGACGCTGAGGACAGAAAGTTAGGTAGGGAGTTACATTTCTATGGTGTAGCTACATTTTAATTTCTATATCCTCTACAACTAAAAGTATTTTAAATTTTCAATTCGTACTTTCCTACTAATCACAATAATATCTATTTTGTTTCTGACAATACTCAAAACTGTCAGGCTATGCTGCTATCAACACTAATCATACCGTGGTGTCTGTCCCTACTGCACAGATCCGATGGCTCAAGACAAGAACCATCACAAGATATAATAGAGCTGTCAGATGAACATGCTGGAGGGTAATTATTTATTATTAACTTTAAAATATTATTGATTATTGTTCGCATGTCTACTGCAAAGCTCTGTCATCCAAATTTGTCAGTCACAAATCTTACCAAATCTAAGGATCTTATTTTAAATACGTTGATACTTACACTGAGTATTGTCAGTTTAAACAAACTTGTCAGTTTATGGTATGTACAGGGGGACTGGGGGGGGGGGGGGGGGGGGGGGGAGTCAGTACACATAGGTTGGGGCTTGTTTCTCAGTCACTCAGCTTCAGTGACTGGTATGACTATGGATTCTTATTATCACTCATTAGAGGAATATATCAAATAAAATAATAACTATGTTCAATTTCCCGAATGAACATTTATTTCAGTTATTTATCGGTTTTAGAAATTTTAATTATTGGATCGAGTTGGATGTAATGCATTAAGTTTGTCATTTTAAATCTGTTTCGCTAACAATCAAATTTTTGCGACGGAATCCTCGGATGAGTAGTTACAGTATACCATCTGCAAAGTTACAGGTCTCAACTATAAAACGTGGCTATGTTATAAGACCCAACGTTCGTACACCGACTTTCGCCCCCCCCTCCCCCCCCCCCGGCCCCCTGTAGTATTTTGTGCAGCTTCCATAGCAAAGTACCTACAAATGGAAATCCTTGATATAAATTTTAGATAAACAAGAAGGATAATAAGGGTTCACTAATATTTGTGACATTACTCAGGGATAATGTTTGTTTCCTGACGAAGCTGGGTCCTCTGGAGACTGTGTTCAGGGACAGAACAATATCGTACAATGAAAGGGTTCCCGTCAAATGTCCAGTTCCTGGGCGAGATGATTGCTTTGATAATGTGTACGTTCTCTATAATTCATCGTTGATAATATTATGTTACTTTACTTTATGATTAATAATCATTTTATATCGACCACATTCCCCCCGAAAGTGACGGTATTTGATGACTATGATGGTTGTGGTCACATTTTTGGGTTGAATGCAGTTAAGGTTTGACTGTCATATTTTGGGTTTAAAACGATTAGTCAAATGTGCAACATTATTTTATTTTTAAAAGTCACGGAGTCAGGCTCTCAGTTACAGTATTTACGGAAATTTGAAATACAAGTAGATAGGTAACTGCTCAGTTTCTTTGTCGTAGAACAAGAAAGTTTGGATACAAGAATGCAGAGTTACAAACCAAAACTTTCGCCACATGAAATTTAAAACTTTCATCTAAACCCACCTAAACTGACAGGAAACGGTATAAGACGATAAAAAAGAAGATAAGGAGACCTAAAGAGATCACAATTTATCACTGCTGTGACGGATGGAACCCAGTAGATGGGACACTCGGTTGCCCTACAGGTGAGAATCCACATTAAATACGGCAAAGTGTATGTTTGATTGCTGTACTTTGATTAGATTCAAACTTGCTGACGTATAAATAATACCGATCGTATCATGTCAAAATATTTTAAGCTTCTGCACATGCTCTTTTGAATGTTTAAAACCAAATCTGCTGTGAATTTGTAGCACTGTCATTTTGCGACAGGTATTTATGTAGGTATTTATCATAATCCTAGACTATAATCCTGTACATGCTATATTACAGCGCAGGATTACTATGTGGGAGTATCATTCTCATACTCTTATCATTTAACACGGTCTCAAATATTGTGATCTATCCGTGTGAACTTGAGTCTGCATCTATTGTTGAGGCGCGCTCCAATCGCAAGCAAAAAGAAAGTAAGTCAAGTATCAGCATTATACGGTAATTTTAATACGAAGTTTAAAAACTTTGTAGCACGGGAGTAAAGTTTTACCGATGTGGCAAAAGCCATAATAGACACGTAGTTATTTGCTTATCAAATACGGTAGAAGTTTTGTAAATGATGGGGGAGTAAACCCTCCCTGCTACTGGAGTAAACCCTCCCTGCAACTATTAGTTAATATTAATATTAGTGGCTAGTGGCGCAGTTCGTTAGTCGACCTGCCTTACTCGTGATATGCTGCTCAATCACGAGGTTGCGGGTTCGATCCTCGCCTGTGACACTAGCCATGGGGTGAGCGGCGTTGCCGTTCTGCTAAGGGTTCCGATGAACCTATGTAGCCCCCCGGTCTACTCAGCCGAATGCTCGAGAAATCGTGTGTAAGGGTTAAATGAGGAGCTGTACATGATCAATACAGCGGAACCACGGGCGAAGAAAGTGTGGTATAATACCTTAACCGTCGCTGGCCTTAGTTATCAATCTTTCGGTTTCCTGTAAGTGCTGGTGCCGGCCATGGTTGTCCGAAGTAAAAGAAAAAGGGTGGTTTTCATAGATGACCTTGCTGCCTTGCAGCTAAACAACGTAAAGTAAAGTAAGTAAAGTAACCACTGAAAATAAATGTCGTAGTATAGAAAGAAAAATATATTATGTTGAAGTTAGAAAAGATCAGAAACTTTAAAAACATACTTTAGTTAACTGACATGACAATAACGAAAGATTTCGGGATATTTTAAACACTTGAACAAAAAAATAATAAAAAACATAATGAAAAGGAGAAACATATTATTTCGTGTTTAGAGAACAATGAGCTGAGCTATGCCTATGGCCGTAAATCCCGCTTCAAAAAGCTGCAATTATTTTCCTGGATATTTTGACGTTTAGAATATAACATAATATAAACCCGCTAGTCAAAAGCTTTGTTCGAGGAAATTTAAAAAATCAGTAATGTTTTAATTTCTTTTCATCGTCTAGCTCTGTTATACTGTAGAAAGTATGGCTTTTATCTGGCAACGACGACAACCTTGTTATAGTATTTGGATTCCCTAAACGATACTTTTTACCGCATCAAAAATATCGATCACAACCAAAGGTATGAATATTCATAGCGTGAGCCTAAATTTGAGCTAGAGTCATTACGTATCATAATTATAAGGCATGACAACGCGCATTGCTAATCTGTTCTTGCTCGCGCACGTGCAATCTCTTGATGTTGCTAAGCAACGACGCCGTTGTGGTGTCAAAAACGCGAATTAAATAGGTTATAATTATTTTAGTCTCTTGAGGTTTGACACCACTTTATATTATTAGGGTTAGACGGGTTCCTGCTAGTTATTCTAACGTTTATTTTACCTCACTTTCGAAGTTAATTATAGAAAATTTAAAGCTTTAATCAAAATCCTAAGAATGCTACATCCTACTCCTATCCTTTTTTTACAACCTTGCTAAAAATGGCAAGGTTTCAACTCCATTTGCGAGCTGAAATTGGCCACGCCAGAGGGTCGGTTTTTGGTCGGTTTTTTCCCACGTTGCCGGGGGATTTCGTCAAGTTTAAAATGTAATATAGATGTATACTTAAATATTATTCAGACGATCGTTTTTGTCTGACGGTCATGAAATATTACAATAATATCATTTACCTAATACCTCTAGCATACCTAGATTACAGTTTATACTTTCAAGTTTTAATTCAACCTAAAATAATATGTACGTTGGTCAATATACGGTACCACATATTATTTCTTAATTTCAGAAATAAACAATATGATTCTTCTTTTGTATATCAACACAAACTCCGGCACAAAATTGTGGCTTAGTGGCGCAGTTCGTTAGTCGACCTGCCTTACTCGTGATATGCTGCTCAATCACGAGGTTGCGGGTTCGATCCTCGCCTGTGACACTAGCCATGGGGTGAGCGGCGTTGCCGTTCTGCTAAGGGTTCCGATGAACCTATGTAGCCCCCCGGTCTACTCAGCCGAATGCTCGAGAAATCGTGTGTAAGGGTTAAATGAGGAGCTGTACATGATCAATACAGCGGAACCACGGGCGAAGAAAGTGTGGTATAATACCTTAACCGTCGCTGGCCTTAGTTATCAATCCTTCGGGTTCATGTAAGTGCTGGTGCCGGCCATGGTTGTCCGAAGTAAAAGAAAAAGGGTGGTTTTCATAGATGACTCTGCTGCCTTGCAGCTAAACAACGTAAAGTTAAGTAAGTACGTTGGTCAATGTCCCACATATTTCTCAATTTCAGAAATAAACAATATGATTCTACTTTTGTATTTCAACACAAACTCCGGCACAAAATTTGTTTTCTGAAGAGAATAACCGAAATTATTTTTGTGGACGTTTACTAGACTATTGATTCAGACAATTGGTTTAGATTAAACTTTCAAGTTATCCGACAACCAATTTTGCTTGGACAATATTTCCTAAATTTTCTTTTAAGAACGTAACAATCTGATTTTATTCTTGCATTTCCGCGCAAAAAGGAGAAAGTACCGATTTAAAAATACGGAATAAATTAGGGTTAATCTCAGAGCTCTTGATCCACGGAGAGATTCCAGATCATGAAAATTTTTCGCGCCGTAGAGTCCTGTTTTTACGGCGCCGCCGTAGAGTCTTACGCCATAGAGTCCCGGACCCATTATGGGGACCTGAAAATTATAAGAGTAGTCCCTCCGCAAGTGGTAGTGCCAGGTCCCGAGTGGCAGGACTGAACGTCTGGAATAATGCCAGTTTGCTTTTGAAATATGAGGCAGAAGTCAGTACATTCTCAAAACCAATATTAATGCCTCCTGCATAATGCATTACTTCGTTAAATTTTGGTCCGTGGTGATTGTTACGCAATGGTATTAATGTTGTTTATTTTTCCATGGAAAAATTCGGACGAATAAAGGTCGAATAAAACTAATTAGGGGAGCTGGAGGATGAAAAAAAATCCGGAAATTACTCGATCGAGCTTAGATCACGACTTATCATGGGTATCATCTGGTTATTGATAGATTGCACTTTGCTTAGAACGCCCTGTTATCACTAGGAGTAAAACAAACATTTCCCATGCTTAGGGATCGTAGAGTGATAATTTAAAACCGCTTTAATTGATTTGAGCCCCTTTGAAAGGTTGGAAGAAGGATGGAAGTTTATTTAGGCCAACCTCGCATAGTCGCATGGCTCGATGTCATTTATTTGAACCCACAAGATACTTAAATATAACTTATTTTAAGCTTAATGCCCACGAACCGGATGTTCGTGATCTTGATTTGAAATTTGTGTTCAAATCTATCCTCAGCTCGTCAACACCCGGCATTTCTCTTTGTGGGTCAATATGAGACGAGAATATACCGCGAGCATCACAACACGCAATCAAAGATGATTGATTGCTTGTTGAAATAGGGCTGGTCGTTCAATTGGTATAGTCTGTCATTAGGGTTATAACCTGCTGTTATCAAGCAACAATTTGATCGATGTGAGTAAGGATACATTGTTCTGGCGGGGTTCCAGCATTGTTCTGGCGGAGTTCCAGCTCTGTTCTTCGTAATGACGTCTCCGGGACACTGGACAGGTGCCGGACATATTTGACAAGTTCTATAAATTCGATCTGATGAATGATGATGAGATTAGAAGATACAAAATTGCAACCTTTGTGCCACCCACTAGTCCGTGAAAATGACGTTTTCCCGCCTGTGAAAGTAGCGGATTTAAGAAGCAATCAATCGTTTATTGGTTAGGCCACTAGGTAACATTTGGACTCGATTAGTATTTGATGTAATAATACTTGCTAGCTTAATTTGTGTCATTTCTATTTTGGTTAAAGAACGGTTGCAACCAATTACTATACCAGGAAAACTATGTTAAAATCACCTCTCGCTATGACGTCGCGTTATTTTGGGTGAGTTTATTGCTCGAATCTGTCATTGGTGTACAGAAAATTCGAGAGAGTATGAAATCAACAACGTCGAAACTCTAGAAGAATAAAGAAACAGTGTGGAAATACTCAGGAATGTCGAATAAGTATTTTAACCAATGACTGATATGTTATTATATTTATCTACTCGTCCATTTTTTTAAATTAGTCGGCCAAGGTAATCAAATCATGAATTGGGGGAACAATGGTAAGCTGAGATAGATTTAAAAAATCAATTTAGCTCTTGGTTGGTTTCAACGATTAATCCATTCCATGATGAATTTTTGACCTGATTTGGAACACGGAGTCAAGTTATTCAATTTTGTCCGGTAAGTGAAATTGGTTTGGCGTTCTTGAAGAGATTTGTCCAAGGAGAGATTTGACTAATGAGAGTTTTATTCCGGTCGCTAAAAGTCGGACAATTGTAAAGTGCCCTTTTTTCATGAAAAAACCGGCACATATTCTAGAAAATGGCCCCAAAAGCACATAACCGGTGTTCTTCACCAGATCTTATTTAAGATTTTTACTGACAACCGAGTTTTGATGACGTCACAAAAAACAGATAATATCGTTAGTTAGCTAGCTACACGTACTAGAAGAGGCAGTGCTAAGTAGGGCGAGGCAGTGTTAATTAGTCTAAGTGCCGACTTGACGCTCTTCAATAACCCTGCCCCAATCACACAATCTCAACTTACTAGAGTGCCCTGGTGTTACTATAATGTTGATAACGAGGTTATATTGGGCCATTATCATATATTCAAACATAATTTGATCGCATTGACTGGGTGAAATTGTAGGGTCGCTAATATATTTAGATGGAGTGGTAACAGGTGCGATGATTTTGCAGAATGTGGAAGAAAAGGAATGCTATACTGAAAACAAGATTGATCGCATTTCTAAGGGCATTGTAATTTGTATTTATGGATCTATGGAGCAAAAACGTCAATCGATTGGATATGCCCTGGTGGAATCATGCCAAAGTTAGTTGACGGTATCAGATTATGCATTCGTTGAACAGATCGAATTCCGCAATCTAGCTTGAAATGAGAAATGTTAAAATGAGAAATGTTAAAACAGTCTGCTGCCATCTGCCTCCTTTTTCCTGATCACATACCATCATCAGATAAGCTGACTATAGTCATGATCCAAGCATTAGACTCTGACTTGTTACAGATGTGGGAAAGTTTGGCCGCAAAATACACGGCAGTATCCTACCTCGACCTCAGGACAAATTGACCGTGATTTATTCCAACCCCCTGCTAATTTGTTTCAACTGTAAGGACCAATGAAGGAAAATGGGTTCTAGACTGCTTTAAATCAATAGTAATACCCTGGCCGAAACATTCCAGACTAAGAATGTACTGATAGCACGCATATAGTGCTTGGATAGCACGTGCCCGCCACGAAAATAATCCTGATTAAATGGTAAAAATCTTAGTTTAGGTGAAGGGTGAGGTGGGCTGTCAAGGACGGTCTGGGACACTGCATTCGGTCTCTTTGTTGCCCAATGCGCTAGGCGATACATCACGATATGACATGATGTATGGATATCGTTCCCGTGATAGACACCATAAACAGCCACTAACCTCAACCTACCTTATCATGGCCACATGGTGGGTTCCGTGGTGTTTTCCATGGAGATACCCAATAGTTTTTATGGTGACGCTTTGTGGTTTCCATAGTAACCCAACATATTATTTCAGCGAATTGTCCGTGCTCAAGATTGACGGCTACCTGCTTGTCTCCCACGGAATGTTTGTGCAAGCAAGGCTGGATGGGAACACTCTGTGACGAAGGTAACAATAACACAGCAGCATAATTATAGGGAATCCGTGTCATTATGTTATTTTGTAAGACTAAATTTAGAAATTCTGGAATAGCATATATTTCGTTTCTATGTTTTAAATATGATCACTATTTTGTGATAATTCAGTTTGGTGCGTTTATCGTTATCACTCCGTTCGCTGTTTTGTGTTCGGCAGATCTCCCTCCCTCTCTATCATGAACCCTTATCAGTAGGTCGTCATGCGTAGGCGTGGTGTAATTATGCCTGCCCGGTCCTATCACAAATTAGACGGATTTGATTAACTTTTCGTTGAGTTTTTTTACTGTAGGGCCTCGTTTTTGACGGGCACGTGATGTTAGACATTTCGTAAGTTCCGACTAACACCAGGAACAAAATGATGACAACACGGACTGTCTAGGGTGACTGATAACGGTGTGTTGTGATTGGTCAGAAATAGGGTCACGTGTCAAAACAACAACCCGTCTCGCTCACATGTCTGTCCGAGCTAACGATCCCTGAATCACACACCCCGATAAAACTATGTGCTCAAAATCGATAACTTCTTAACGCTAACATCTTTAGTTTTCTTTGAGTACTATTTCAGTGCTGTTTAAATACCGACAAACGCCGTTCCCACTAATCCAAACAAATATTCCGTCGCAATTTAAGTTTTCGTTGAGTGTTGCCCCGGTCCAATTAAGCGACCGCGGATGTTTGCCTACACTAGTGACGACCCGTTGCGTCTAGCTCAAGCGGTCCCGGTCGTGCCCTTGTGTCGCGATCAAAATACTCCGCTTATACCAAGCGATATAATCGGGAATTAATGCTATTATATACCCTGATCTTTAATATGCTATTGTGTGGTCAAGGTATCCCCCTGGTCTTGGGAGATGCTAATGTTGTTGCCGACGTTACTGTTTACTGTGACGCGTTTTAATGACCTCCCCGAAACAATGAGCACCTATTGTTCCGGTAACGCAATTAAGTGAAGCTCAGGTGAACCATCCATTAATGTCGTTAAAGTTAATGGCGGGAGGAGGAGGCCGGGGAGCATTCTTTTCGGCCATGTAACGGACTCACCATACACCAGCCGGCATGTCAGTAGCATATAATTACGTTTTTGTTTTGATGATGACATGAGTTTATCATTGGTGATCGTTGGCATATGTTGTTTGTTTTCGTTTATTTATTTAGTTTAATTAATCCGTTTTGTACCGGGACTGGTATCGCAAAAAAGTCAAGATCAAAGGGCGCTGTCCGGTCTAGTTAACGAGATATAAGCGGACTATATTGCCATGCTTACGTATCTGAGTTTCATTTCGTTCCTCTTGAGGACAAGGATTTAAGTTATTAACTTAATCTATTGTTGATTTTTAATGGTGCGTTAAGTTGAGGTGCTCAGTCGAGAAGTTCACGCCAATTCCTTGGCAAACGGCAGCCTACTTTTTGTTATAAATTAGGTTATGGTAATTGTTTCGTACTTAAAAATGTGTTTATCGGCGCCTAATTCCTCGTGCGGGAGTTTTGTGTGAGCTTGCGTAGCCGTGAAGTATAAAATACAGGATGAATATTAAGTTAGCTCTATAGAATGAGGTGGTAAGCACGTTGCTTCAATCGTAACTCTTGGGCAAGTCTTTCATAATTCATATCTGATATCAAAGATTTATTTTTGCAGACCGGATCTTGAAATTATTTGTTTTTACCTAGTGGCGTGGTCAATTCTGCCGTGTCCTTCAAAGCTTTATGATCTCAGTTTTGTTATATATGTTCCTGTCAATATATTTTCCTGTCAAGATATTTTCGTATCGCAACGCGGATATCATCCCTATTGAATATTGAAATCGTTTCGCATCAAGTGATCTTTTTAGCTCATCAGTTCTTTTTATAGTTTCCTCAAGTCAAAACTTTGCAATCATCACGTTTCTTCATAATTAGAGGTGTACAAATTCCGCACTAGACAGTGTAGACTAGATGAAGTGATATTATGAAAATTGTTGACCCCATTATGCTATTTACATCCAATTGGTAGACGCCGAAAAGTGACTTTACAACAGGAAAATTATTGACCGGAGTAATCACCTTTGTGAGGGGGGGTTAAACGCCGAGAACACATCTTTCAATGATGTTAAAATTAGTTCACCTCCTAATTCGGCGTAACGGGATCATTTAGCTTACATTATGCCGTTTCGGGAACTTTCCACGCGACTTTCGTCGATTTCTAAAATAACATGCAGTTTTGTCATTAACTGTCGAGTATATGTTGCTGTGTACATGATTTCAGCCGTAAACTTCATGTTATAAAAACCTGTATCATTACAACAATATTTCAAGTATAAATTAATTTATCAATAATTTGAGTCCGTTCAAGGAATCCAAGCAAGAATTACAATGAAGATCTTTCCTATTTATCTCGATACGGCCTAACATCCTCATCTCTTATTCGGTCGATATAATATACCTCGGCATCTTTCGTTTCTCATTGGTTGCATTTTTGCACGTGTAATTAAGCCTGGACTGTGAATGGTCGCCGGAACTTGGCGGTCTTGATTTGTTTTACAACTGTAAAACCCAGATCACGTTTTGTTCAATGGTAGTAAACACTTCTCTTTCCGGTTTTTTTGTTGTGTTAAACTATATTAAGTTCACGAAACATTTTGCAGCGAGGACAGTCAGTAAATTTTCCGTTGTATACGTGGGTTATTCGGTGTTCTTTGGCGATGTGTTAGAAAATTGCCCCTAAAATAGCATTCCATCTATATCATGGTTTAAAACCTTGGTCAAATGATTGGTATCAGTTTCAAAAGTTTAGTTAGTAAAAAATGTAAAAACGTGCTCGACCAAACGCTTACCTGGAAAATTGCAAGTCTGAGGATCTGTCTTTTAAACGCCCCTCTAATGATACGACTTTTCGAACACAGTAGGAAAAGCAGTGCTTAAGTAACGCCACAAGGGCTACTTATTATCTACTCGGTTCTGATTGGATCGAACTGCGCAGGACCCTCGTTTCATTGGCTCTCTCCCAGCTTCCCAGTCCCCACATTTACTCTACCAGTAAAACTCCGCTGTTAGGACATTTCTAGATAAAGTTATAAAGATCTAATATGACAGCTTAAACTTTTATTCACGGCAAACGGCATAAAATCAGTGCTTCCGTGTCGATTTTGCGAATGATCATCTGATTCAAAGAATGCATAAAAAGGGATATTTAGTTGCTATATAAAGGGACGATACACGATTTGTTCACTTTTCTTTCTGATTGTTAAAATTTGTCAAAAAACCCGCCCTACAATAGGGCAAATCGTTTTTTGACCAAGTATTCCCCAAATTTTCACCCCCTCCTAGAAGATAATTCGGCTAGAAAATTATAAAATTACTGTAAAATATATCCTGAAGCCCATAGGAGAGGTGGATTATAGAGTGTTTATTATTGTAAAGAATGACGCCTCCTGTCAGGGGAAGGAAATATGCGCCAATGTGACTTTCTTTTATTCTTCTCCTGTCGTTAAAACCTGACCTGTCCTTGACCGCTGGGAGATTCTCTCATATCGCAACACTTGGTTCTCCTATCTCCTTATTTGTTACGTATATATTAGGGCACAACTGCACAAGTCACAAGGATATCCATTTGACACACCTGCAGAAGGCTGTCTGTGGTGCCGCGATCAGCTTCTTTTGCGGGCTAGTAGGGTGTGTTCTGCATGCTAACCACAACTTTTGACCTCCCCTGGCCCTGTCTACAGTCCTACAGTTTGTACTTTGTCTTTGTCAGCTCCGAATTTATTGTTATTTATTTTTGTGCTACATTTTATGGCAGCCGGACGACCCTAGTGGACGTTATTAATTAGTTTTTACTTTCACAGAGCTTACTCTTAGAGACATGTCATGTTTAAAGTATCAGTGAATATCACGCTAATTTTTACGACTATAATCCATCAACTTCAATCCGACTATAATCCATCAATTTCAATCCTGAGTTCTTGGCGCCGTACTTCATGACAGCATACCTAGTGAGGCCGTTTTTAAAAGAGTTGACCGAGGTGAGAGTTACGATTGTAACTAAGACTCAGCTCCAGGAGTTACTATTAGCCCTTGCTTCCTGCCATTCCGTTCGTATTATCTCACTCATGACAAATCTAAATAGTTTACTTCAGTCCACCAATCTAAACATTAATCTTCGACGACGATTTGGATTGAGTAACAATTTTCAACGTCTGCTTTTCGGTGTTGTACTCCGTCTCACTCCGAATATTTCCCCAGTTAGAAATTTTAGGTTATGATATCAAAGACCATATGAGTATATCTATACGTGACGACGCTCTAGACCAAGTGACGTCATCACTTCTTCGTGTGACGTCATCACTGTTCCACATAACTGGTTCCCTAGTTCAACTGACGTCTTCCTTCCTGTTTTTGTCGTCGCTTTTTTGTTGTGTTCAAGGATATCCTCTGGGAGGAAGGGCCGGACGACGAGGCAGAGGCAAGACGCTTGAAAATCACGATGCCTTCCAACCTATTTATCAGAATTTTAATAGTTATATAAATTACGGTTAGTCTTAACGAGTTTGTTGCATGAATTTTTGATTTCAGAATGACAGTTTTTTTATTTGGTTACGATAAAATTGCAATTTTGTGAGGTGATAACCTCTCAGGATGGTTTGTAAAGTTTTGTCGTTTTGTGTGTGTTTTGTCGTTTTATGTGTGTGTTTTGTCGTTTTATGTGTGTTTTGTCGTTTTATGTACGTGTTTTTGTTCCTTTTTAATGTGAGCCTTGTTTCCAGCCAAACCTTCACAACACCAAGTTAAAGGTTTCTCCTTTAAAACCAGCAACCACATAAATCACTTTATGTTCGATTAATCTGATCTGGGTGCATTGGAGGGACCTGGAAAGGAGGGTACTAAATTAGGGTGCATTGCAAGATGTCGCTGCTTCAAATGCTAAATTTAAAGTTTAAACAACACGAACTGCTTGACAAACTTATTTGACTCATGACGGCACCGCTTGGAGTATTTATTCATCCAGTCATGCGTTTTTAACTCACCTCGTACAGTTTTTGGGCGCGTTTTACCCCATACCTTTGATGATCTTGTATTTGATGCTCTTGATACTCTAACTTTTTTAATCACAACGTTATGCCGAATCGCGTTTGGACGCCAAATCGTCAGATAATTTAATTTATAATACTGCGAATCCGTCTTTTCTTCGTTTTAACTTTTTGTCCTCTTTTTTCCCTCTTCCAATGTACTCAAATTACATAACCCGGTTATGATTGTTAACCAGTAAATCTGAAGCAATCAGGAACCTGTCACCGTGACATTTACTTTGTGACAGCTAAGACAAGTGCAGAGTTTTAATCGAATCGGCAATTATGTTACGTTTAACGTGATTTTTATAGATTACATCTTAAGAAGAAATGCTTGTAAGAAGTGTTTATGACAGATATTTATATAAGATTCTAAAACGTCTCCCTTTTTCAGACGTGAACGAGTGTTTACAAGGGATGTGTTCGCACGATTGCCACAACACTCAAGGCTCCTACTATTGCAGCTGCCCTACAGGCATGGACCTGTCTGACGATGGTCACACTTGTATAAGTAAGTGGTTTTGATTGTCTGTCTGTCTGTGCGATTGTCTGTCTGTTTGTCTGTTTCTCATTCTGTTTGTCTGTTTGTCTGTCTGTCTGTTTTAAATGTATGTCTGTTTCTGTGCGATTGACCGTTTGTGTGTCTGTCTGTTTCTGTGCGTGTCATTTGAAACGTGGTTGGATAAATTTTCAGACCTGTCATAAATGTGTTTTTAATTGAATGTAAATTGTTAAATGTAAACCTGTAGAAAATCGTATATTATATCAACCAGACCTTCTAAGCCTGTGGTTTTGATGCTAAAAGTGAAAATATAAAGGATCCAGGATTACGGATATCCTGTTTAGTAAATGTTACCAATGCCGTCTGCACTAGGTTGCACCACTACCTTGCGGTATGATCCAACTTACCGTTGGACTTGTTATTAACTGTCCCTCCTCCTTCTCCTCCTTCTCCTCCCCCTCCTTCTCCTGCAGGCTACGGGGCTACCGCCCACTCTCTCCTCCTTTTATTGGGGTCCATGCGCAGCCAGGTGATCTGTCAGCCTCATTCCAACCCGATCTAACAGCCTGTCTGCCAGTCTAGATCACCTCATCCCACTCCACGCCTGGACTGGCAGCTAATGATTGCCTCCCAGACTCACCCTAGCGTTTTGTCTCCTTAAACCCGCGTTCTTTCCATTACGGGATATTCCGGTGACAATTGTTTGCACTCGTTAGCCCCGACCGCTGGTTAATCGACAGATCTCATATGAGAGCATGATATGAGAGCATGATATGGCCATATGTTTGTTTGCAGGGCCGCACAACTTCACAAATTTAATCGGACCATTAGCCTATTGTAAAGTTTAGCGCTAATTAAGGTTTAATTTAGCGCTAGAATCGATGGGAACGAATTTTTTTGGGGGACAATATTAATTTAATTTGAAAACAGATAATGGACCTGGTAACTGAAGGTAATTGTACAAAGAGCTCTAAATAATGGATATTTTGATGGACATGAGTATTTATTAGAAGTGGTCCCAACTGTAAAAGTCACTCCTACTCAAACCGGTCATGCGAAGGTATTAGAAAATAGTTTCAAGGGCATTACAACCAAACTTCCTCCTAACTTTTTTGTGTCCTGTAACCTGAGGTTCATTTTTTGTTGAGAACCGAGGGTATTTTAATTTGATCGCTTTGAGCTATCCGAATAATATGATTGTTCGAGATTTTTTGCCGAGTCGAAGCCGACCAATTTGTCTAAAAACCATAAAAATATGACAAATATATAATATTGTTTGATAACTTTAATTATACTATATATACTATACTTATACATGGGGGAGCTGGAGGGGGGGGGGGGGGGGGGGGGGAGGGTGTTATACGCGTTATAGGACGTGTGCCACTACAAAGAAGAATGATTATTTATTTACAAATTGTGCGGGTTATTTGAATCAGGGAATTATGGTTTTTAAAAGTCTTTTGTGAACCCCGAGCAGACGGAAATGCTTGATTATGACATTTTCCAAAAAACAAGCACATATTATAGCATTTTTCTTCGCAATTAGAAAATTTGATCAGAGTTTAAAATAATTTGTATAGTTAGCCGGTACCAGGTCACATTGTAGCCAAATAGAACATTCTTCGGTTCCTAGAACGCCCGAAATTTGAATATTTTGCTAACGTCACTTTGGTGATAGAAAGTCATTGCTCTAACTAGCTATGTCTGGGGAGGCACCTTCTGTAGGCACGTGACCTCTAAACCCGTGGCCTATAGAACTTAACCACGTGACAGCGTGTACCGACTGAAAGTCTGCTAACTAAATTAAAGGTTTTTCGCTTCCTCGTCCAAATAGTGGTTCATTTTGAAGATTTCACCATGTTCTGTAGAGCGTAACATAAATATTAATAACATGTACATTTGCCAATGTTCACAAATGTAATTTACGAATGTTATCGATCGCTGCAGTGGACACATTTTATTGTTGTAATATATTGCCCAACATGACCGTCCATAGCTGTTGTGAACAACGCTGTTCGATATATCATCTTACAAAAGCTAAGGTGAGCTATGATGAAGCAGAGTCGAATAGGAAACCATTACTCCTCAACAATGTAATCGTATTATCACTACTACAGTACATTAATTTGTTGATTTCTCCTCTGATTATTTGGGTGCATCTAATTTTATCACGGCTCGGTGCTACTCATTTTACTGTCTGCTTCGTTCTCTGTTTGTTGGGTTTTGTACTCTGATTTCACAGTGGTCGGTGAACTACTGGACATACCGACTACTGCACCCAAATGAAAATTAGATTTGCTATTTTCTCTGTCCATGATCCTGATTTTCCCTCTTATCTTTTCCTTCAAAAGGTTTTAAAAAATACTTCTGTATGTTTGCAGGCCATGTCTTCAACCACCACTGATTGCTAGTCTCCATCTTCAAACTTAATCCCTGGCCCTCCCACTATTATCATTTAGATATAGAGATATAGCTAGTGATTTAATATAGCTAGATATAGCTAGATATTTAGATATTGCTAGTGATGGGCTAGTGATTCAATATTCGCCCCTGTTCTTTAACTTCGTGCTTGCCCGAACCATTGATCGTACCGTGAGTGTTGGGTAGTCGCCAAGTTAGGGGCACCTTTCTCTTTGGGCACCCCGCACCATATAGTCATGTACCAAAAGCTTTGTACGCTGTTACAGATAGTTATTGTCGTTGGACTTAATTATCTAGAGTATATGCATTAGGCGTACTGCACAGTTGGCAGGCAGCCAAATGTTAATTAGGTTTTAAAGTAGATTGATCTGATTACTGGATATTATTCCTGGCTCTATAATTAGTGTACAATTGCCCCCAAGCCACTGTATATTGTTCTTATCTGTAACCGTTATCTTGATTCCATTTAGATTCTAATTAATCTTTCGACTCACGAACACAGAATTGTGTCTATATTATAATCAGTTGTGAAAGTCTAGACTTTTTCTTTTTTATATTACTTACGTCTTATGATCACGAACTTTAATATCAGTTATTGCGTTTGATTGTAATTTAATATTCGGATCTATATATATTAGTTAGGCCTTTAATTCTTGTATTAATACAAATATAAATATAATCTTTATAAATATATATTATTAAAGCCAGCAAGTTAGTCCCAGAAGAGCCAGTATTACTAGGATAATATAACCACAGCTTGAAATCATATGTAACTTTATCACCACCCCACCGTATTGGCGACTCTCCTCCAGCATCTCCCAATAGGTCCCGATAAAAAGCAACCATATTCCGGCGATCCTGAGTCTTGAGACTGGATCTCGCTACCTTGCTCCCTTCATTGCTCCTTCTCCTTCTCCTTCATTGCTCCTTCTCGCGGACTCATTGCATCACAGAAAATATTGCGCTATTATCGTCCCTTTTAATATTGTGTCATAACGTCAGGTGTGTGCAGGGATAAATGTGATGATGACTTGATTAGAGCAGAGGGGATGTTCTGACAGATGGCCGAGTGGTTGTGGCAGTTTGCCACTTTATCTGCGGTCAGGTGATCCGTCAGGTGATCCGTCAGGTGATCCGTCAGGTGATCCGTCAGGTTCGTCTGATGAGTTTACAGGTGAAGATAATGGTAGTTGATAGGGTGTCTCCACGAAATCTAAATGCAGAAATGATGGTATTATCGTTCTTTTGTTATTGGCGATCTGCTTTAAAAAAAAGGCAGAATAAAAAAGTAACGTTACGGTACGAGTCTGAAAATTCTGGGTCAGAAAAAATGAAGGGCTCATCATGTCAGTAATCTTGTTTATCTTGTTGATCGAGTCAAAGGGAAATGCCGTACATATCTAATCTATTCTTATCACACCTACTACGTCAAGCAATAATTTACCCCAAATTCCTCAAATTCAATCTGCCCACAAAAATGTCTACCTGATCACCGTTATTCGTTCTACAATCCAGAAAAAGAAGCCCGACAGCTGCACTTGACCTAGTTTATAAGATTTGCCGAGAGAAGCCTATCCACGTCGTGCCGCTGCCTCAAAAACACCAGGATTCATCTCCCTTGGGACCGGGCCGTATCACTGTTTGTTGAACAGACGGCTGCTAGCCGGGGTTCTGTTACATGATGGCAAACATAGTGTTACATGTGCTGCCTCTCTTGTGCCTAATAAATGGAGGCAGTTTTCATAATCTTTGCTTTTCACAAAAGGATAATTTGTTAACCACACCAGTTTTTCTATGCCTAATTTTACGGTGGTCTGATCTTATTAAGAATCTGCCTGTCGTTGTAATAGCTTCTCTTCCTCAAAAATGGCGAAAATCAATGTCGAGCTTCACACCCTCAAAAAGTGGGCAGAAGATAATGTCGTCTAACTAAAGAATACCCAGCCGTAACGCTAATACCTGTTTTACTGGTTTACCTCAGTGAATCAGTCATATTCTTGCCACCGCATACCACTTTGAAGCAGCCATTTTGTCGGTTAATTCTCACTTGACATTTCAAATCGTGTTAAATATTATCCCACATATTGTATCAAATTAATAAGTAGACACATCACGAACTTTAAGTTAACATTAAAGAAAAATGCCCCAAGTGTGCCTAGCTAGCTTACCAACTGGCCCATTACAATTACCTTTCACATATTTCCAACCCATATTTGCGGTTAAACCCCACGTTGCTAATAATTTAGTATTTGAGATAAACACATTCCTCCCTCATTGATATATAATCACCAAGTCTCTAAATAATAGTTTAAACGTAAATCAGTTATTCAATGGCTTGCATATTAACATAATATTGACGTACAGATAGCATAGTAGTCACATACTATAATACAGATAGTAGTATAGTCATATACTTATAGTTAGCCCACGTAAAATACCTGTACGAGTGTCGACATTCTGTCTGTAATTTCAACACTTTTCTAACCTCGGGTTTACTGCGTCAAATTCCTTAGAACATGTAACTTCGCAGACGTGAGACACTGTAACATTCCAATGTGTTGAAGTCATTTCAACGTGTGCTAGACGCT